GACTGTGGAGAAAATATAACTTGTAAACTTTAAAAGAAAGAAGAGAGGCTCCAGAACGCCTCCCTAAGGGACTCCACAAGTTATTAAAAATACAGAAAACAAGAGGATTTACCAAAATCTGTTCCTGTAAATGATGAATTGATTATCAAACCTGCTTAATGTTCTGTCGATCATAAAAACTCGAGCTACAGATCTGGTTTGGTTCAGATCAAGTCCCTTTAACATCCTAAAGCTTTTTCAAGTCTTTTAAGTGGCATAAAGTTTTATACATCATTTTCTCTGTCACCTGCTAAAGACTTTACTCTTCTGGAATGTGTCACAGCATCATACTGATCTGGTCCATCCCCTCGGTCCCTGCAGATGGACCTGGCCTCTCTGTGTGACCAGTATTTAGGTGGCGGACCAGGTTCTCCCTCCTGGTGAAAGTCCTCCTGCAGAGTCCGCAGTGGTGTGGTCTGTCCCCGCTGTGGACCTTCAGGTGTCTCTCCAAACTCTCCTTCCTGCTAAAGTCTCGGTTGCAGAAACTGCAGCGGTATGGTTTCTCTCCAGTGTGGACCCGTTTGTGGATCTCCATCCTCCTGATGGAACTGCACTTCTTCCCGCACACATCGCAGGTGCTGCCCAGCTCTTTGTGGGACCGCAGGTGTTCTCTGAGAGTCTCAGTTGACTCCAGATGGTCCCCACAGGCTCCACACCGACTCTCTGGCTCCTTGCAGTGGTTCTCGGCGTGCCGCACCAGAATCCCCTGTGTGTAGAAGGAGCTGCCACAGACTCTGCAGCTGAAGGACTTGTCAGGACTCTGGAAGGGGGCCCTCTGTCTGCGGAGGCTGCAGGACATCTGGTCCTTGTCCTGAGCTGTGTTTCGTCTGATGTGTTTCCTCAGAGTTCGCCTTGAGCTGAACTCTCGACCACAGCTACCACAGACCAGCAGCTTCTGGTCTACAGGAGGCCGAGTTTCACTCCCCTGAGTCCTCTGGAGACCTGGTTCAGACTGAATGTTGTCGTTGTCCTCAGACGACTCTGATTGGACAACTGAGTCCCTGTGGTGGTCTGGAGGTCTGCACGTCCTTCCAGGTTCTGGTCTCATTAGGGCGTCTGAGGGGGCAGGGAGAAACTCCTCTATGTGGGGCTGGATCTGATTGGATGAAAAACTTCCCTCATCATCATTGCTTCCCATTAACCAATCAGGACTCGGTGTGAAACTGGTATCAGCATCCTCAGGTCCTGAAGCTCCACCCTCCTGTTTAATGTGCAGACTGAAGCTCAACTCCCTAATTGGCTGCTCTTCTTCTGTGGTGGAAACCAGCAGATCACCTAGAGGTTAAAAACAACAAAATCTCTGGTGAAAATTACGATAAAGGAAATCAGGCTTCCAACATTTTACTACACTATAAAATCAGATTTATTGACTCCACAGCATCAGGAGACATACGGAGAATTTACCTTAGTCTTAAATACTATAAAAAACTCAGATCTGTGTTTCTGTGTAACCTGGACAAAAAGATGCTCCAGTTGATTAAGTGATCATCTAATTTCATTAAAAGTGAATTAATCACTGGTCTTGCAATGTTTGAATGTGAGAAAAACTGATCAGGAAGTAAATGATTGAAATGCAGTAAATGTTCAAACTCTCACAAATTCTCTGTTCACAGTGGAAAATATCAAAATAAAGTTACTAAAAACAGTTTTCAGACTTAAAATCCCTGGTTACTATGACGATCTACCCTGGTTACTATGACAATCTAACCCGGTTACCTGACCAACCTTTTTGCACAGAGCTGATCTCTGCTCTGACTGCAGCCTCCAGCATCATCTGACCTTCACCCACTTCTTGCTTGACACTGAACGCCTCCTGTTTATCTTTAGCAGTTTGAGGCCCCGCCTCCTCTGTGCAGGATTGGATCGGATTGGACCGAGGACTCAGGTCTGTTTCAGGTCTCTCCCTCAACCCATCGGGACTCTGTGTAAACTTGGTGTCTGTGTCCTCTGGTCCTGAAGCTCTGCCCTCCTCCTGTTTGATGTGCAGACTGAAACTCCGCCCCCTTATCTGTTGCTTTTCTTCGGTGGTGAAAACCTGCAGTACACCTGGAGGATAAAACCAACTAAGAGTTAGACAGTTAATAACATCATACTATGTGAATGGTGTCTTTGTCTTTCTCTGAGTGTGAATGGTGTCTTTGTCTTTCTCTGAGTGTGAATGGTGTCTTTGTCTTTCTCTGTGTGTGAATGGTGTATTTGTCCACACACACACACACACACACACACACTTTCTCTGAGTGTGAATGGTGTATTTGTCTTTCTCTGTATGCTAATGGTCTTTGTCTCTCCCTCTCTCTGTGAATGGTGTCTTTGTCTTTCTGTATGTGTGTGAATGGTATTTGTCTCTCTGTGTGTGAATGGTGTCTTTGTCTCTCTCACTCAAATAAATTATGTTTTGGGGGTATTTTGCCTTTAATTCGTTAATTACAGTGAGAGAGAGACAGGAAAGTTGGGGAGAGAAAGGGGGGATGACATGTAGCAAAGGGCCGCAGATCAATTTCGAACCCAGGCCGCTGCAATTAGGACTAAGGCTTCATGGTACGCGCTCTACCAGGTGAGCACCCCTGTGTGAATGGTCTTTGTCTTTCTCTCTGTGTGTGAATGGTATTTTTGTCTCTCTCTGTGTGAATGGTGTCTTTGCCTCTAGCTCTGTGTGAATGGTGTCCAAGGCTCAAGGCTTCGGTGAGGTCATGCAAAAGTTGACCCTTAAGTGGGAACAAGTACGACAATATACTTACTGACTTATATCTCTGATAAAACAATTTTACTTATTGTGAAAATGGTGTGGTTGAAACACTTCAGTCTGATGTCTTAGATATGTGAACAGCTCCTCTCCATACACACTCTCAAAACATGGTCATACAGTAGGAGGGACTGTTGTTGGCTTTTCCCCTCAGAGAAGATGGTGAGGAGCTGCTAGTCAACAATGTCTGCTTGTAGAAGTTGATAATATTAGTTTTAGTTCTATAACTATGACACTGAATGTCTGAATATTGAAAAGTATTTTCCAAGACTCGTCCTGAGGAGGCATAAAGACAGTCTGGACCAGAGGTATCAGCTAAACAGAGAACCTAGAGATGCGTGGAAAAGCTGAGCAGTCCGACCAGTGTGATTAGATTCCCACTTAGTTAGTTTCCAGTATTTCCAGGCTTCAACCAGCAGCAAGAGAGAGTCAGGAAGAGACAGCAGCTACTGAAGAGGACAGCAGCCAACACACGCACGCACATGCACACGCACGCACGCACACACACACACACACACACACACACACACACACACACACACACACACACACACACACACACACACAGGTGTGGATGGGGAGCCTTCTGGTCCTAATGGTCTGAACTGGCAATAATAAAGATTAATACACGTAAAAAGCTGCTTCACATTTTGAACATTTACAGTAACACTGGTTTAAATGGTTCCCAGTTCAGTTTAACAACAAGTCAGTCTGAACCACAGCAGCGACATCTAGCGGGGAAAAGACGCTACGTCACAGTCTGCGGACATTTCTCTATCAAACTAAACAACAGTCTGTGCACCGACCTGCAGGTCTGTCCTCCGGTCTGTCCTCCGGTCTGTCCTCCGATCTGTCCTCCGATCTGTCCTCCGATCTGTCCTCCGGTTGTTCAGCTGTCCCCAGCAGTTTCCTATGTTGGTCTATCTCCTGTTTTAACCGGGAAACTTCGTGTTCATAATCGGCGATCATTCTGGCAAAACGTCGGAAAATGTCGTCAGTAACCGAGCTGAGCCGCTGGTCCACAAACAGCCGCAGGGAGTCGAGCTGCATGTCGGTACCGACTGAGGACTGTCCGTGACACCGGGAGTAGGAGCTACTGGAAGCGTAATGTCGGCTCGAGCACAAACAGTAAAGTTGGACAGTTTGTGACCGCGTCAGACAGGAAGTCTTCACAATAAAAGCACCACTGGAACACACAGAGGACGGACTGTTGTCAAACAGATTTTTTGTGCTCAGTATACCAGCTTAAAGTTTCTGAATCTGATCTGTTTTTACTCTTCCAAGTGAATTTTCAGTATCTGCTGAAATAAAATGAGTTGTTTACAACTTCATTTCATTTAAACTTCAAAAGGAAGCAGCTGTTTTAACTTTTTAACATTTCAGGGATCATAGGAATATTTCAGAAAATAAAAATCTCAATGCTTCTATTAAACGTTGCACTGGTCGTTTTATTCTGAAAGTTTGAGATGTTTTAATCCAGTAAACTTCACCTGGCACAACTGTAAGTCATGTGACACTGAGGGCTGTCACATGACTGACCCCAATAATATTTCAAGGAAAGGAGACATGAAATTCAGTGATCAAAGAAACTTATTCAAGATCCTCCATGACCATTTCAACAATCACAGAGACGTATTCAGTGATCACAGGAACTCATTCAAGTTCCCTGGAATATTTTAAGGACTTCAGGAACTCATTGAAAGACCACTGGAAGTTATTCAAGGACCTTAGGAATTAATTCTGCAGTCTTGTTAACATTTAAGGACCCTCAGGACACTTCAAGGATTCCCTAGAATATATCAGGTACCCTCTCCCTAAAACATTTCAAGATCCACTAGAACTAGTTCCTTGAGTCATTGAACTTATTCATGGCCCCTAAGAACATTTCAAGGAACCCAGGAAGTAATTCACTAATGCAAAGAACTCATTCAAGGATCTCTGGAATAGGTTAGAGACCACATTAACTAATTAAAAAAAAACCTGGAGCATTTCAAGGACCACAACTCATTCAGTGTTTGACTTTGAACCATGAACATCAGTTTATCTATTCCAGTCATACTATGACCTGTTTATTTAAAAAAAAAAAAAAAAAAAACAATCTTTATGATGTTATTGAACTAAAATCAACCACATCACTGATTTCAGACTTGTTGGTTTTGTTTAGAGTCAAAACAAATTTTTATTTAAAAAAGAAATAGACAAATTTTTTGGAGCGTGAAGCACTTTTCTGAATCAGTAATGTCGCTGCTGCAACAGAGAACATTTTTAAATTATATGACATTGAAAAATTAAAAAATAAATAGAATATTCTTTAAAAGGTTAAAAAAGATTTGTGTTGCGATTCTGGATCGTGTTTTGAAACAGATTTCTGTCGCTGCTGATGACTGAAGGATCACAGCAGCAGATTTCTGTTCATCAGTTCGACAGTTCAACAAACCAGCTGCTGGACTGTCAGTTCACCAGTTTGTAAAACCAGTAGAAACACTGGTCTGTATGAAATCTACAGTTGCATGAACTCTGGCTGCAGACCGTCCTCCCTCCTGATTGACTCTTTGCTGATATGGACGTCCAGGTGGACCTTCATGTGGACGTCTCTGGAGCGTTTCTCCTGGTAGCTCTTCCCGCAGACCCTGCAGCTGTAGGGTTTCTCTCCAGTGTGGGTCAGCAGGTGTTTCTTCAGGTCATTCTTGGTGACAAAGGCCTTCCAGCACAGGTGGCAGCTGAACGCTCGCTCCTTCTTGTGGAACCGGATGTGGGTCTCCAAGTATCCTTTGGTGCTGAAGCTCTTGTTGCAGAGGCTGCAGCTGAATGGCTTCTCCCCGGTGTGGGTCAGCATATGGGCGTTCAGCCCTCCCACCTGCCTGAAGTCTTTGCCACAGATGCGGCACTGAAATGGCTTCTCACCTGTGTGGATCCTCTTGTGGACTTCCAGGACGTGGACCGATGCCAGGCTCTTCCCGCAGGTCTCGCAGGAGACACGATGCGCTGGTTTGTCCCCAGTGTGGTTCCTGATGTGCGTCGTCAGAGCGCCGTTATCGATAAACGTCTTCCCGCAGAACTCGCAGATGTAGGGTCTCTCTCCACTGTGTATCCTCTTGTGGCGCCGCAGAGCACCGGGCCTCGGGAAGGATTTACCACAGACGCTGCAGTGGTATGGTTTGACACCGGTGTGACTCCGCATGTGAGTCTCGATGTTCTGGTAAGTTTTACCGCAGATGTGACAGATTTTACCAGCGTCTCTGTGAGTCTGCAGGTGGTCTGTCAGGGTCTCTGATGGCGGCAAACTTTCACCACAGACGCCACAGACAGACTCAGCTGAATGACTCTTTGCGTGTTTCCTCAAACCGCCTTTACTCTGAAAAGATTCACCGCAGACTTTACAGCAGTGAGAGGTCTGAGTCAATGTCGTAGTGTTCTCTTGGACATTTGGACTTTCCTCGGTTTCAGACTTAAGGTTCTGAGAGTCCGCTGGAGGTCCGGGGTCCTCGTCACTGTGGATCTCCCATGAGTGACTCCTGCTGTGAGTCTTTAAGGTGCTGCTCTCGATGAAGGTCTTCCCACAGTGCTGGCAGGTGTATGGTCGCTCCCCACTGTGGATCTTCTTGTGGCGCCTCAGTGCTCCAGGTCGAGGGAAGCGTTTGTTGCAGACGCCACAGCGGTACGGTTTGATCCCCGTGTGGCTTCGCATGTGCGTCTCCATGTTCTGGAAACTTTTCCCGCAGATGCTGCAGATCCCACTGGTCTCTCTGTGAGACTGCAGGTGGGTTAGCAGACTGTCAGGTGAGTCCACCTGCTTTCCACAGACGCCACAGACGCCCTGAGACGCCCTGCAGTGCGTCTCTGCGTGTTTCCTCAAGAAGCCTCGACTGTGGAAGGAATCACCACAGACTCTGCAGCAGAGTGAGGCCGATTGAGGCGACATTAGTCCTGAGGTTTGCCCTTTGTCTCTCTTTGAATTCAGCTTCTCCATCTGACCGTCCTCGCCCTCAATGTCCTCACTCTGGTCTCCATCGTCCTCTTCGTGGGTCTTCAGGTGCTCCTGGAGCACGTGGCTTTGGGTGAAGGTCAGTCCACACACCGGGCAGATGTTGGAGGTTCTCCTGCTGTGGATCTTCTTGTGCCTCCTCAGCGCTCCGGGTCGAGGGAAGCTCTTGCTGCAGATGTCGCAGCTGAACGGTCTGACTCCTGTGTGGCTCCTCATGTGTGTCTCCATGTTCTGAAACGTTTTGCCACAGATGTGACACTTCCCACCGCCACTGACAGTTTCTCTGTGAGATCTGAGATGGTCCAACAAACCGTGTGAGGACTCCAAACGTTCTCCACATACTCCACAGAGACGTTCAGGGTTGTCTGCATGGGTCTCCACGTGTTTCACCAGATTCCCTTTGTGGCGGAAAGTTTTTCTACAGACAACACAGTGGTGAGTCACTGGCCAGTCCGATGATGCTGCCCGCTGTCTCTTGCTGCTGGACCGCCGTCCTCCATTGGCCCCTGTCCTCTTAGTCTCTTTATTACTGGAGTTGTCGCTGCCCCTCCAATCGTCGCCACTGTCGTTGCTTTCGGCCGCAGAGACATCTGAGGAGGTGGAGCTGGAGGTGGGCGGGGCTGTGGGGAGGTGGGTGGCCTTGATCTCTGGTAGTGCTGTCTGGATTTCATCAGTGCTGGTTGTCCTGAGAGTGGACGAGCAGGCAGAGTCTGAAAGGAAAAGAAAACAAAATAAAAATGAGGATGAATCAGTTCATCCAGTTTCAACCTCCTACATCTGAACCTCAAAAGTTTAGATTCTTTAGATGTTGTCAGGAGAGGGTGAGGTGACCAGGAATGATGGGAGAGAAAGGGTCTCACTTTATTAAACACTATCAGGCTGATTAGACGCTCCTTTAAATCTGATTTTCTTCAAATCTAATTAGACAAAAACATTTCTTATGTTTTAAGACTTTACCAGTAGGAATATTGTTCAGAGGTAGAGTTTAGATTGTTAAAACTGCAGGTTCAACACCTGGTTCACTGAAAAGTGACATCACGAACATGACTTTGATACTTCACCAATCAAGAAATCTGATTATTGATCAGCAGACATTTAGCGTTAACACATTAACAGATGTTGTGACTGACAGTGATGCAGCACCTTCAAAACCACATTTAAACCCAGGTACCTGTGGTGGTTACCCTGAGTGTAAGTGGAGAACCATCTGACTGGCCCCACACTGAGAAAGGACGACAGTATTTCATAATAACAGACTTCAGAAGAATAATGTTTTATCTGCAGGTTGAAGGTGAATTAGTTTCCAACAAGTGCAGAATAAAAGACAGAGACACGGCTCTCACTTTAACACTGGTTTAACACAGGAGTCCAGTTATTGAAGCTTCACTAACATCAGTTAAACTGACTTCAGTAAACATCATGTTTAAATGTTTTTACCTGAGAAAGTGTATCACATGATACTTAGAGCTGGACCAGGTTCTGGTGTGGATTTAGAGACGGTTTGTCTGATTATTTATTGAACAGTAAAACTTTATTTATGAAGGAAAACATCAAAGTTACAGATGAATACAAATTTTAACTCCAGGTTTTCTGAGGACCCTCCACAGGTTGAAGTCCTGGCCTCACAGTCCCGGCCTCACAGTCCCACAGAGGTGTGTTGTTCTTCCAGGTGATGTTGTATCTCTGTTTGACCTCTGATTGGCTGACCTCTGGTTACCTAGCAACAGTCAGAGCGGTGATGTGGCTCCAACATGGCGACAGTCTGTAGAACAGGGCGCTGGTATTAACTCACCTGTCCGGCTCAGTCGGACCACCGGGCTCAGCACCGCCTCCAGCAGCCGGCCCTGCCGCTCCAGCTGCCGCCGGTACTCCTCCACCTCCCGCTCCAGCAGACCCACGATCCGCTCCGCCGCCGCCGCCAGTCGCTTGGTCAGGAGCCGCCGCAGCAGGTGGAGCAGGCGGCCTCCTGATAATCCCGTCCCGCCGCTGCGCTTCTCCATCAACCCCAAGACCTCCTCCCCGAGCCGCCTCAGCTGCTCCGACACCGACTCCGTCAGGGCCCGGAGCCCGCAGCGCGGCGGTGTTTGAGTGAGAGCCATCCCAGCGCAGAGCTCAGTCCACCGGTCATCAGGAAGGAAAACAACCCGGGTGTGTTCCGGGTTCACATTGAGGGGAGAGAGAGAGGCGGACCCCTGCTGGACCGGAGGATACTATAACTACACTGATGATACCCGTACTGGTCCTAATTAACTAATTAAACCAAACTGTTGGTGGAAAGAACTGAACTTTGAGTATTTATATTTTTACTAAATGTATCTGATAACTTAGCCAGTAGATGACTTACTGAATCAGATTTTTCATACAAAACATATGATCTGTTTGTAAAACATAAAACCTTTCCCACCTCAGTCAGTCAGTGATGATCCTGCAGCCTGGAGCTACAGACTGCTCTGACAGATTTTTCTTTTGATTTAAAAAAAAATAAATAAAGTTTTTAGGAGATTCTTATAATCAGAAATGTCTCCATGATATTATGGTTTATTATTACATCATTAATAATAATCCTATAATATTCCTATATATATACATTACATTTATGTATACAGCAAAATCAAAGGAGTTTGATACTTTTAAAACCTTTGTAATTTTACTTCATCAAACTTTTGAGTTTTATTTATAGTTTTCACAGTGTAGTGTTAGTAATGTAACTATATATAACTTCAATAAAAAAAGACTAAACATTTGAATAAAATTAAAATCAAATAAATGACAAACAAAAGGGTCTCATATTAATCTACCAGAATTATATTCCTGTGGTGTGGATCAGGTTTTTGGTGGATAAAACTGACAGAAGACAGTTTCACTGTTCAATATAGAAACATATAAACATATAGTCTAAAGAAAATTAAAATCTGAGAACAAACATTTCTCAGTTATTAGAAAAAAAGTTATAAAATCAGATTTACAAAAGAAAAAGAATTGTAAAACTCAGTAAACATGGTAACCGGTAATAATCTCTGACTGGCTTCTTGTCCATGAAAACAGCAGCTGAGGATCATGGGTATTGTAGTATTTAGAACCAGAAAAAAGCTGATCAGTCAGAAACTAAGAGGGACTATTTTCTCCGTTTGAGCTGATAGAGAAAGAAACAATGATGATGATTCTCATCATCCTCTGAATAAAAGTCAGAGTCAGAACCAGAAACTCTTTATTTATTTTGAAGACAATGACTGACGTTTAATCCAGTTTTTATTCTATTGATGGAAGCTGAAAAATCAGAGACCTTTTGGACCCAGACTGAAATGTGCTCAGACTCAGAGCTTCACAGTCATCTTATCAGACAGTTAAATCGTCCTTTCTCCAGCTGCACACCGAAATTCTTGTTAAAAAACATTTATTAAATCTGGTTTCATGTCTTTGACAGAAGAAAAAACATATTCATGTTTTAATTTTGGTATCACAATCCTGTGTCAATATCCTGATATCAGTCCTGATACCGAACCAAAATATCTTACTATGAGAGTTAAAATCCAACAGCTGCCTTTAAAATCCTGGTGTTGGTTTACAGAGCTCTAAGGTGGTCTGAGACCTGATCACCAGGCACATGAGACCTGGGTCGCTGTTCTTTCAGAACTCTGCTTCCCATTTTCATCATATACAACTCAGAACATGTGGGAAGGCCGACCACTCATCCCCTATCAGTGCCTGACACAGACTAGTCCAGAGTCCATTACACGAATGCCACATTAACAAAAATGTTCCCTTACCATAAGGCTGTTCGTAACAGATGACGGGACTCACCTGCTGATCTTTTACACATGCTCTGGACCTGTCCCCACTTATCTGAGTATTGGACAAAATATTTAAAACACTGCAAAAAGTTGGTGATTGTTATTACTCCTTATCCATGTACAGTGACTTAGTTGTTCCCTATGACAACATGTCTTCACTGCCCTGCTATGGACGCATGTTTTAATCTCTAAATTTGAAGATGGGAGGTGTTGAACTGTATCAAGCTGGAGAAAATAAGATAATCCACTAAGGAGTGAAAGGACTGAGGACTAAAGCGCTGTTCTTCTGCGCAGATATTTACTGGCAACTGTTAGGACCAGACAGTGTTTGATACTTGTTCTATGGACACATTTCAGTCTGTACCAAAACAGTACTGTGGTTTGATCTCTTGCATGAACTGGGACCAGAGCCAGACCAGAATGTTATTGATGGAGAAGTTCTGTGTGAAACAGTTTGGAAGTGATGAATAAAGTTCAACACTGTTGGTTTGAGTCCAGCTCTTCGAGTCAACAGTCTCTAACGCCGGTCCTCTACAGCTGGAGGAATCCTGAGTAGAAACTGTCCATCCTCTGCTGCTCTGAGTCCTGATCTGGCTCTGGTCCGGTCTCACCCCCCCCTGCCGTGTGAACTTTGAGGTGTCCATTGAGTGATCTTTTAGCCTGGAAGCTCTTCCCGCAGACCCTGCAGCTGTACGGTTTCTCTCCAGTGTGGATCAGCAAGTGTCTCTTCAAGTCCACGTCCTGCATGAAGCCTTTCCCGCAGACCTGACACAGGAAGCGTCTCTCCTTGTTGTGGAAGCGGACATGAGTGTCCAGAGTCTGTTTCTGGGTGAAGCCCTTCCCACAGATGCTGCAGGAGAATGCCCGCTCACCGGTGTGTATCTTCAGGTGCGTCTTCAGGTTTCCACTCTGGTTGAAGGCTTTGCCGCAGAAGCGGCAGGTATATGGTTTCTCTCCGGTGTGGATCCTCATGTGCATCTGCAGCGCTGCATGAGCTGGGAAGCACTTCCCACAGATGTCGCATGTGTTGCTAACCTCACGGTGGGAGCGCAGGTGAGCGGCGAGGCTGGCAGCGGACTCATTCTGGTGTCCGCAGAGTCCACAGCAACAGTCCGGGTCCTGTAGGTGAGTCTCCACATGTTTCACCAAGAAGGTCTTCCTGTGGAAGGTGTCCCCGCACACTTTGCAGATGTAGGACGGCACCGAGGTGCGGTATCTCTTTGGTTTGTGGGTGGCATCCTTATGATGAGTTGACATGTGTCGTCTCAGGCTGTGTTGTTTCCTGAACTCCTGGTCACAGACGTTGCAGGTGTGCACCACCTTACCGCTGTGCTCCTGCATGTGTCGCTCTAAAGACGTCATGTGACAGAAGGCCCGACTGCACTGTTTACATTGGAAGGGTTTCTCTGTGGTATGGACGCGCATGTGTGACGTTAGGTTTCCCTTTTGGCTGAACTTCTTGCCGCAGACGTCGCAGCTGTATGGTTTCTCTCCGGTGTGCAGGCGGACATGCAGCTCCTGTGCCAGGATGGACTGGAAGATCTTCCCGCAGAAGGAACAGGTTTTACTCTTCTCTTGGTGTGTTTGTAGGTGAACTGTCAGGTCATCAACTGAGTCTAAACACTCACCACAGATGCCGCAGCGGCAGTCTGGGTCTTTGGCACAGACCTGCAGGACGTGTTTGAGCAGGAAGCCTTTCCCGTGCAGAGCCCGTCCACAAACATGACAGATGAAACTCTGAGCTGGAGTTGACCGTTTCCGTTTGTTTCTGACAGCAAGTGGTGGCCGTCCTCTTTTCTTTTTCCTCGGGGATCTGAGAGTCCGATTTTTTTCAGTCCAGTCACTGTCTGGATCACCGTCACTGTGAACGACCGAGCTGCTCGGTGAGACGGGCAGTCTGTATGTGGGGGAGGGGGAGCGAGGCGTCGGTGGGCAGGAAACCTCGCTGTCGACGTGTTCAGATTCAGTCTGGTTCAGGTCTGCAGGGTCTGGAGGCTGGAGGTTTGTCTGGCCCTGGTTCACTGACTGCAACAGCTCTAAGGAGACAGAACACTTGATCAACACCGATGCACCTGACAACTTCACTGAATAACTGATGTCACGTATTTCTTCACACTAATGACACAGCTCCAGATTGTGGCCATTTTGGTCTGTCAAGGTTGACGAAACATTTTCATTAGTCGCACCCATAAACCTGACTTTAAGCAGGACTGAGTGTGTGTATGTGTGTGTTTGTAGCGTTATTTTTTTAAAACCCACATTCTGCAAAGTCTTGCCCCTACTCTGCCTGTGATTGGCTCTTACCCTGATATTGTTCTTTGCAGGTGGGGAAAATAATAAGGCATGTATGTGTGTGTGAAATTGTGCCCTGTATTTGTGGTTGAGCAACATCACAACCTAAAAACGTACTGCATCATTTTCATGTTGCACCCTAACATCTCATTAGCCTGTCACAGCCATGCTTTACTTCCTTTACTCAACAAACAATATTGTTCATTTAATTAACTCAATTTTAATTAATTTCTCTGAGCCAGTTTTTAACAGTAAGTAACTGACACCTCTGATGTATATATTGTGTTGTATTAACATAACTGAAGGCAGGACTCAACCTGGTACCTGCACCTGTCTGAGTCAGGAGAAGTTCTTGCACCTGATAGAGACACTGAAACATCAAAGCTGGATCAAAACCCAATCTGTTACTCAGTGTGTGCCCTTTTTTTACTGAGACAATTTCTGCCTTTTTTCCACCATAACTGATCAAACGTTTTGAGAGAGGAGGATTGTAGGATGAAAACTAACAGATTGGTTTGGTAAACGTCAGGTCAGGGCTTTTATTTTGAAGCTGAACGGAAGTGTGAGTCGGTGTGTACTCCGGGTGCAGCGAGGGACACTGACCTGCTCTGTGCAGTTTGACTTCGGGCTTCAGCACAGCATCGAGCAGCCTCCTCTGGCGGCAGATCTCTCGCTCCGACCGCTCCACTCTGTCTTCGTACTCCGCCACGGTTTCCTCAAACAGACCGACGATCTCCTCCGCCGCCGCCGTTAGCCGCTCGGTGAGCAGCGCTCTCAGCGCCGGGACTTCAGCCGGTTCTTCTCTTTTCTCCACCTGTAGGAGAAAGTCTTCAGCGGCAGCGCTGATCCGCTCATGGACCGACACCCGCAGCAGCTGCACAGCGCACATTTTACCCCTTTTCTGCGCAAGTTGAGCTTCCAGCGAACAAAGAGAGGCAGCGGGGAGGTAAACAGAGACACCGAGTTCCGCGTCGACGACAGTTCGCTCAGAGGAGAGCGAAGCGACGACAGCGAACAGCGAACTCTGCTGGACTGGAGGAGGAAGACGTAAACACAGACGTTTGACTGAGTCTGACTGGTAGAAGTGGAAGAAGATCAGATAACTGACTGAGAAATACAGTAGAAAACTACAAGCACCTACAGTTTTTATTCAGGTACAGTAACTGTACTGAGTTACTCTGATGAGTGACAACGTTGTTATTCTGAGAACTGTTTGTTTTATTTTGAATTAATTAAGTAAAACCAAAATATTTCTATATAAACTAAGTAAAAGCTCATGTAAAGATTAGTGACAGGGGTGTCACCTGTGTGTGTGTGTGTGTGTGTGTGTGTGTGTGTGTGTGTGTGTGTGTGTGTGTGTGTGTGTGTGTGTGTGTGTGTATATGTGTATGTATGTAATCATATGTATTTAGTCGGTTAACATTTGGATACTTTGGAACATTTTTCTTTCTTGCATGTGTTTTTGTTCTTATGTCCCTGATGTCATTAGTTGTATTTTTCCACGTGTTGTATGTTGAATATAAAATAAAACAACTTGTGCCTCAGACAGATGTTTTCAGATGATTTTTAGAAAAACTAATGTTGTCCAATCTACATTTTTTTTTATCTACATCACTGTTGATGTTAGTAAAAAAACAGACACAAACATCTTATTTCTGATCTCAGTTTTTATTTTGAACTTGATTTTGATTCAGTGCTTTAAAATCATAGACAAAGCTCAGAGAATTATCTGAGACGGCTGTGAACCCCGTGAGAAGAATATTCTTAATTTTGTTTGTTTATTACCAAATCTTCAACTGACATTTGAGTCACATTCTCAAGAAAACATGAATAAAACAAAAAATAGGAAAATACATCATTGGTTATTAGGAACATGCTAAAATTAGCAAGCTAGCTAATGTTACAAGTGCAAATGCAACAAGTAACATCATTTTGAAAAAACTATGTGACGGTAAACACCGAGACAACAAGTCGTTAACGTTCATCAAACTTTTAATTTTGGAGAATAGCCTCTGTCACTGTTCACGTGGTTGTTGTTTAATAAAGTTATTCATGAAAAAGTCCACTGTTGCTAGGATACGCTAAACTATCCCCCTCTGTTGCAAGGACAGAGCCAACTGAGTCTTGTGCGAATCACAGAGAAGTTTGAGGCTGACGGTAACGGCCGGTTCACAGGTCACACCGGCGGGATGGAGATCGTCCACGTTTACACGAAGCTCCGCGAAGAGTTTGGCCGCCAGGCTATATTCTCTGACCGGCCTGCTGAGCTGCTGGTGGATGTCCTGCCGGACCCGAGTCTGGGTCTGCAGTTCATCGAGAAAACCCCCAGAGACCAGGCGTTGCAGGCCTGCCTAGACATGTCCGAACACCAGGTGGGATTTAGTTGCTACTAGGTCATGAACTACGTGTTCAATGTCATCTACAGCTGCATTAGCCTTAAATCACACTTCAATTACAACCTCATTAGTACATGTATTGTACATGACTTAAATCTGTATGACGTCAGAGTGTATTTTAACTGAACAACTTCAGCTGACTGTAAAGGTCTAAATGCAACAGTCTGAAGTCAGTGTAGAGTTAGTCCAGGTCATTATCAGGTTTTCATTCACTGCAGGTTGACCTCAGAGAACTGGTTCACGTTGACCTGGACCAGGGTCAACATTTTACAACTGCACCAGTTTCTCACACTGACACATCAACACTGACATGTACGTTCAGACTGAACATACATGTCAGTGCCATGTTACAATGAAAACTGGTATGTTTCAGGTAACCTCCACCAGTCTTTGAATATTTCCAAGTCTCGCATCGAAAAACACCCAGACTACTGCATATTTACAATGATGCACAATAAAGCAGTTTACAAACATGTGAACTGACATCAGCTGTGATTCCAAACACATGATCCAACTGTCTGCAGTAAACAAGCAGACCAGTCAAAGCAGCTGATTGGCTCCTGACGTGTTTGTATACATGCTGTCCAATAAACTTAAATCAATCAATCAATCAATCAATCAGTCAAATTTAACTAACTGATGTGCAGTGAACCTCAGGTTTTTTAATCAATGTTTAATGAAACTCTCCAGTAATAAACTGTCCATTACTACATACACTCATCTCTACCTGTACACCTGTACAGTCCAGTATACCACACTGTCAACTCTAATGAAAGCTCTAATGTTCAGTTATATTTTTTTCAGTGAGCTCAGTTAGTGATGTTGTTATACTGGACTGCCTTAGATTCAGAGGTGTTCCTAATATTCTGACACCAACTATAAATATTATAAACACCTTTAACTCTGAACTTAGTGGAAACTCAGAACTGAATTTACATATTTCTGACTGAGCTTCTTAAGGACAGATGTTAACATCAGAGCTGTTGTGTTGGACTATAACAGATTGAACAGGTGAACCAGTGATTTACCACATGAGGTCAAAAATAGAGCGAACTGCTCCTTTAAAAACAAGCCTGAAATCAGTGAAGGAAAGAAGAGAAATCAGATGTTTGACTTAATTTACCAATAACAATGAATGTTTTTTGTCAGTATTTCTGCAGGTAAATGAACCAAAGCAACACAAACTCTATGTGTCTTCTCATAGTATCTCTGAACAGTTTGTCTTGAATATTTTCTGACTCAGACAAGCAATATTTCAATAATTTGGAAAACCACCTGAAAATCAGCTCAATGAAGAGTCGGGTTTGGTTTGTATGAAAATGATGACCTGTAGTCATATCATTCACATTTGCGTGTCCAGGTGAACACGGAGCGATTCGAGTCGGACAGCTGTGGGATAAACCACGTGGAGGGGGGGTGGCCCAAAGACGTCAACCCCCAGGAGATGGAACAAACCATCCGCTTCAGGAAGAAGGTGGAGAAAGACGAGAGCTACATCAACAGCACCTTGCATCTGGGCAGCGTAAGATCTACATCAGTCCACATCAACCCAGTTTAACTCAGCCCACATCAGTTTTCCTTAACCTGATTTGGGGCAGTTAAGGCGGTTTACTCCTAATGAAATCCAGTTTGGATTGTTTCATCAGTAGAATAAAGTTTGCTTTGAGTTTTAGTTTCATGTGGCGTAAACTTCTGGCTGTCAGCTAAACAGGGGCGGCTATGGCCACACCCCTAGCTGCACTATGTTATGTCACTGTGTGATGTCATCATGTGATCCAGGTCATGGAGCACTGCAACAGACAGAACAACGCCGTGGACATCTACCAGACGTACTTTGAGGACGAGGAGGAGGTCGAGGAAAGTCTGGAGCCGCCATCTGCCAAGACCATCAATGTCTTCAGGTACAGCTGACAACAAACTGATTGACAGGTGCTGACGGATTGATCGCTGATTGTTAGTTGTATCTCCTCTCCTATGTGTCTGCAGAGATCCTAACGAGGTGAAACGTACCGTCACCAGTCTGTCATGGCATCCTGACAGCGGCAGGAAGCTGGCAGCCGCCTACTCCTGCCTCGAGTTCCAGAAAACCTCCAAAGACATGAGCCTGGACTCCTACATCTGGGACGTTGGTGGGTCAGACAGACAGACAGACAGCAACTGGATTTAAAACCACCACAGAGTCCGATCTGCTCACAGATAGATGTTTTATGTTTCAGAGAATCCGAACAGACCAGAGATGACTCTGAAGCCGGCATCTCTGCTCGTCTGTCTGGAGTATAATCCCAAAGACTCACACACTCTGGTGGGAGGCAGCTACAACGGGCAGATCGGTGGGTTCAGGACCAGACTGAATAATAGGGGACTTTTTGTCTGTGACATGGTTTCTAAACGGTGTGTTTGTTTTAGCATACTGGGACACCCGGAGAGGCAGCCAGCCGGTGGAGTTGTCCTCTGTGGAGCAGAGTCACAGAGACCCAGTCTACAAGATCATCTGGCTGCAGTCCAAGACCGGGACAGATGCATTCTCTGCCTCCACCGATGGACAGGTAAACTGATGATTGTTTGGATTATTATATCAAGCTGAGGCGGACTAACCAGACCAGAGACCTTATCTTACTCTTGACTCTCACATATGCATTGTTTAAAAAAAAAAAAAAGAATCTCCTCTCTCTGTCCACCAGGTTCTGTGGTGGGATGTTCGCAAGTTGAGCGAGCCCACAGATCGTCTTGTTCTGGACCTGGGCAGGGAGGGGAACCTGGATCGAGCTTTAGGAGCCATCTCTCTGGAGTTTGAGGCCACCATGGTGAGTTTATGTTTGTCCTTCTGCCCCATTTGGGAGCTCAAGAAACAACAGGTTTTTAATGCCACTATTTAATAACTGTGTGATTCTGGTCTGTCCCAAACTAAAGTTGAACTGTGGCTTTGGTCATCAGTCCAAAGATGGTCCTAGCAGCGGCACTCACACAGGGACTCCTGAGTACCAGCAATGTGCCTTTCTCACTGGCAGCTCTAGAAACAGAGTCCAGCTCCTATCGAGGAGTTTCTTTCCAATTTCTGTACTGCGCGTAGAGCTGAGCCTGATTACATCTAGTCAATATGACTCTGCTGAGTTTCTGCAACCAGGGTCCAGAGACCAGAGTTCTTGACCTTTGCCTACTGCCCGATGTGGACCTGACCTCCCTGCTGCTGCAGGTGGTGGGCCCACACAGTGGGCACACAACAGAAAAATAAGGTTTTGTGCTGCCCATTAGTGCAGTATTTACCACTACCAAAATCCTAGTGGCGCTGCACTAACCTTAACAGAGTTGAACCCCCTCTGACTCTCAGTCAGTGTGTCTCTGTCCTTGATGTCTCTGCAGCCAACTAAATTCATGGTGGGGACGGAGCAGGGCACGGTTGTCTCCTGTAACAGGAAGGCAAAGACTCCAGCCGAAAAGATTGTTTGTACATACGACGGTCACCACGGGCCCGTCTATGCCCTGCAGAGGAACCCCTTCTTCCCCAAAAACTTCCTCACTGTGGGGGACTGGACTGCCCGCATCTGGTCTGAGGACATCAAGGAATCATCCATCATGTGGACCAAGTCAGAATCACACCCTTAACTCTCTGCCAACATCCTGCTCAGTTAGGCTCAAACTCAGACTAGATTTTAAGCCCTGTGTTTTGTTTCTTCAGATATCAGATGTCGTACCTGATGGACGCCTGCTGGAGTCCAGTCAGACCCTCTGTCTTCTTCACTGTAAAGATGGATGGCGTGTTGGACGTCTGGGACATCCTGTTCAAACAGAATGACCCCACGCTCAGTCTCAAGGTGCTCTGGTCTCCTCTGTATAAAACAAATGTTGTTGGCAGGTGGTGGGCCCACACAGTGGTAGAACCTGACCATGATGTTATTGCTGTTGTTAATATCTGTCCTTGTTGTCTGTGGTCGTCCTCAGGTGTGTGATGAGGCTCTGTACAGCCTTCGTGTTCAGGATAACGGGCGTTTGGTGGCATGCGGCTCTCAGCAGGGCGGAGCCACGCTGCTGGAAATTTGCTCCGGACTGTCGACCCTCCAGAAGAATGAGAAGAGTCTGCTGGCTGCTGTAAGACACACTGAGACACCTGCAGATACAGGTGTAGACTGTAGGTTTACAACAGCCAAGTTAAGACACAGGCTGATGGATCCTTGGTGGATCCATAGCAAATACAACCAGTCAGTGTTCATCAGTGTTATTAACCTAAAACTATTAAATATAATTTCTCTCAGAGGTTTTATGTTGCGGCTGCTCCATAATTTGAACCACTGACAAAAGCAGTCACGTGGTACAGACAGTCAGTGTGACATGTCATCAGTTACGTCATGCATCTAAAATGATACAGGCATCGGTTCGTGCTTTGCTGGAAAAGCGCAGCTGTACTCGACACACACTTCAAAGCCTCGACGTCTCACGTAACATCACTTTTTTGAAGTGCTATGACCAGCAAGGTCAGGGTCACAAGACCGATGGACACACCTGATGGCCATCCTGGCTTCTCTTCAACTGCAGAACAGGATAAACAGTACAGGACACACTTTCTACAGAAAAAATGTTTAATTCTTCCATGATTTATTTGAACAATTCAAACATTTTAAATTACGCTATTATCATGAGAAACAGACGTCCCTCCAAACACGTTTTACACATTAATATTCATACAGCTTCTTGTTCATCAGAGGTTAGAAACCACAGTGACTGTCATACAGTTCAAATCACTGAATTTTCCTTATATTTTTTTAAATGATCATCTGTTTTCCAGATGTTCAAAGATATATCAATATTTTACTGTGATTATACAACAAACTTTATTTTCAATAATCAATTCCCACTGAAATGTTGGTCATGTGACTTTTCTCACAGGTGGTAGTGGTCTGTCGAGATGCAAAGTGATGAAGCAATAAAATGGTCTGTTAAAGCCAGTAAATTATATGACTTATTACAGGAAGGGAAGCTCTTGTTTACTAATCATTACAGTTCTGATGTTTAAGTCACTGTGGTCATAAACTTCTGTGGGTGTAGAAGGAAAACCTGGACCAGGAGAAGAAGACTATGAGACTGAAGATGAACTGAGCTCAGACCTCTGGTGTGTCTGTATCTGTTTGTTTCCAGATGTTTGAGCGTGAGACGAAGCGAGAGAAGATCCTGGAGGCTCGACAGAGAGAGATTCGTCTGAAGGAGAGGAGTCGATCAGAGCAGAGCAGAGAGGAGGAGGGAGGTCGAGAGGAAGGGGAAGAGAGTCCGGATCAGCTGATCATCAGAGCTGAGAACGACTTTTACAGCGTGGTGGAGACGGAGCTGAGGAAGAGGAGGGAGGACGAGGCAAACGAGGTGTGTTTCTATTCCTTGTCTCCTTTTCTGTTTCTGTCTTTCCTCCTTCAGTGATCCACAAACACAAATATCAGGCACTTTTACACAACAAAACTAAACTTTCTTCTGTCTGAAATATTCTAGACTCAATATTCACTCACTCATCTATGATGCAGTGTTTTACTATTAAACTGACCAGTGTGTATAAAGTACATGGTCAAATAAAATACAGTACAGTACACAAAATAAAGTGGCTGCGCATTGACAAACTACTTGGACATCTTTACTTTTGATACTTAACTGATAATACTTATGTACTTTTATTTCTCTAACAGCTGCATGAGTCTGATGTCTCACCTGTCAGATTCAGATTCATCATTTGTCACATGAAAACATTTAATTTAAACACAGTCAGAGAAATAAAGTGCTCAACCTGCTCCTTTAGTTATAAACCCTCTCTCCTGATTGGCAGCTGGCTACTCTGTGACGTTTACAGCCTGTCACAGTGACACAGCTATAAAACACTGAATCAACTGATGACAAGTGAGTCTAGACATAGGTCTTTAGGTCGAAGTCTTAGGAAACATCGTAGATATTTCATCAGTTAAAACTAACCCACCCAGAAAATATTTTTTGTTGCACCATTTCTCTCATTACATGAACATCTGAATGTTGTTTGTTCTGTATGATTTTGTTTTTCAGGAGAAAGGTGTCTGTGAAGAAAAAGAAATGAAGAATGAAGTGGAAGCTTCAGAAACGTCACAGTAAATAAAAATGTTTCTGTCATTACAATGATCCTTCATTGTTTAATTTAAATGTAATGAACTGAGAGTGTTTTGGGTCAAATGTTTGATTCTAGCTCAGGGTAAAATGTCCAGTGATTGTGAATTTTGTTCAATAAAAAGAATTTGTAATTAGTTTTTTTTCCCTGTCTTTAATCACACATTGTTAGTGTAATTATTTACAGACCGAAATAATTTCAAACTTTATCATCATTTTCTTCAGGTCACGTCCGTTTAGTTCATACTTTTATTATGAAGGACAGCGGAAGCCCCCCTGTTGTTGTTACCGGAACACTCTGTTAGCATCGTTAGCTTTTAGCAGCAGTCCGTGAGTCTTTGCAGTTCAACTTTCTCTATCCCGGCTGTTGGTTTGAACATGTCCCGGGTTCAGAAGCTCCGAGTCTTCGTCAGTCAACGGTTGAACCTGGCGGTCGAAGAGATTTTGGCGGCTTTTGAAAAAACGATCGTTAAATACGAACAGGAAGCGGCCCTGTGTCAGGAGGTGATATCTCGCCAGCACGCGCTGCTCTGTGCGCTCCACAAACCTCTCATGGAGGTCCCGTCGGCAGGTGAGGGCACACTTGAGGGTTCGTCCGGTTCAGGGCGGACGGCGCCGACATGTTTATAGCAGGTGTTTTTATATCCGTGGAACAGCTGAAGCATCTCAGATCACAACAGTCAAGGTGCGTCAGCTGATGATGAGCTTCGGGATCAGTCCGGGGTCGGATTCTGTTCCAACTTAAATTCAGGTGTACTGGGTCCCAAAGTTCAGGAACACATTCCAGGTGTTCCATTGGTCCTCTCAGGTGGAAGAGGTAACAGGTTGTTGTGGAGCTGCACGTCATCACGTTTTTCATTTGAAATATCTTTCTGTGTAGTTTTCAGTGAACAGTTTGTCTCAAAGTCGGCTGGTTCGGGTGTTCTCAGTCTCAACAGGTGTTTTACCTGTTAGTGCTGAAGTCTGCTTTTTTAAAATATTAATTATTTATAATGAGAGTTAAAGCTGTGGTATTAAAAATATATATATTTTAACTGAAAATGTGAAAACATCTTTTCAAAATATGTTGCTCGCCTTTAAGTCTCAGGTGCATAAGAAATGAACAATGGAAACTTGTGTAGACCTTTGTGTTCTTTGTGAAAACAGTTGTAGTATTTCAAGATATTTTACTTCTTGAAACAAATATTCAGATTTTTTCTCAAAATATATATTTTTTCCGTTAAGTGTTTGACTTTATTTTTTAAAATAATTTTAGATTTCAGTTGCAGTTGCAACTTTATGTCATTATATTTTGATATGATTACTGTTTGTTCCCTTCAGCAGCTCAACTGTATCACATCACACACTCCATCTCTGTGAGTCATGTGACCTCATGTTATTTACTGTCACAGTCCGTATGAAGATGCCTCAAACTTTATTCTTGAGTTTGGAAACAGCAGCTGACAAAATGGTTTAACTCAAGAGCCTCTTAATCACTCAGTCTAATATCTTTAAAGTTGATCTCTAATGTTTGTTTCCCTGCAGATGCCTTCACTCAGCAGCTGATGGGAATTAAAGACGAGGTTCACCCTGAGCAGCAGGACCAGGACCAGGCAGACCTGTGGCCCTCACATGTCAAAGAAGAGGAGGAAGAGCAGCTTCAAGACCTGGATGAGGCTGAAATCATCGAGTTCACCTACAATTCCAGTCGTGTAGTGAGGCCAGGTGAGGAAGTGGACCTGTCAGATGTCGGGACTGCTCAGGTAGAACCAGGATCAGCAGATCCAGATCAGAATGTCCAGCTGGTGTTGTCTTCAGAGACTGAAGACAGTGACGACTACAGCAATGAATGTGCTGACCCCAGGCCTGCTTTAAACAGATTCAAACCAAAGACGAGTCGTAGTCCAGCAGGACTCCTCAGCTGCAGGGTCTGCAGCCGGACTTTTAAAGCTCGTAGGTGTTTATTCAGACATGTCAAAACTCACCTGAAGGAGGCGGAGCAGGTTTGTGGTTTGTGTGGTGAACGATTTGAGACCCCCGACAGTCTGAGGCTTCACATCCAGACTCATTGGAGCACCAGGAAGAGGAGGGATCCAGAGAACCAGACCAAGACACAGGGCAGGGAGAGGCGGTCTCACCGTCGCTCAAACCACGACAGTAACACCAACGTCCACGAGGACCAGAAACCAAACAGGTGTAATGACTGTGGGAGGAGTTTTCTTCAGGTGTTGAGGAAGAGAAAACACAGGTGCTGCCCCCGGGGAAAAAACCAGGACCCAGAGGGTCTGGAGGGAACCAAGAGGAAGAGGAAAAAGAAGACATAAACATTTGATTTGTATTTCTGACTTCACACTGTGACATCACTGAAGGAAAGGTTGACATGTTGATTCTTTGCCCTGTTTTATGTTGTTTTTTTAATCTATTTTAATTTTTATATTTCACAAGAGAAAAGGAGAGGCAAAAAAGAAAGTATTCTTGCAAAAAGTCATAGTATTTTGTTATAATTTAGTTTCAACATCTCAGATTGTCTCTCTTCTCTGCAGCAGCGTCCTGAGCCTCATTCATGTCTGTGTGGAAACAGTTCAGTTTGGATGAATGAAGAGTTCAGATGAGACTGTTCACCTCCTGGTGCTTAGAGTAAACCTGAAGGTTCCTGTTCTGTCTTCAGCTGATTTCTAATTAAAAAAAAAAAAATCTAGATGATTCTCTCTCTTTCACATCCAGTGTGTCAATGTTCAATTTGTCCTGAAACAGAAAACATGCAACACAGTCTGTGTCTGATGTTAAAACCTCATAAGAACAAACTTTAAAACAAAACCAACCATAAAGTGTTTGATGTGATAGAAAGCTCCAGAACAAGCAACTAAATGAACCTTATGGAGGGTGAAATCAAACGCCAGGAGACAGATTCTGATCCTTAGAAAAAATCATTTTAATTCCAGTTGAATGAATTAACATCTGATTTGTCCAGATTCTCAGGTGTATTCTCAGGTGTGCTCCAGACATTTTTCATCAAACACATTGATTTAAACGATCGTGCTTAATTTGTCCACCATGTGCCGGTTGTTAAGAAGCAGCAAAGACCAGGAAAATATGCTAAATGACATTCAGGTGTGACGTGAATCAACGTGTGTGACCCTGAATCTGTCAGTTGATAATCAGCTGATCAGCAGGGGGTGGAGATGCTGTGGTTGTTTTTACAGCTTTTAGTTTTGGCAAAGACAGAACAGAAGTGACCGGGTCCACATGAAGCCGATGAGCCAATCAGCTGTAAGCAGCAGCTTTATCAAAATAAACATGGACATCTACACCCCACCCTACTTGCACCACTTTTTCAACTGTGCAGAGACTCAGTTTAAGTTTGTTTGTCTCCGTTGTCTGTTTCCTGCTGCTGACTCGAGCTGTACCGAGGGAAGGGACGGGTCTGGACGGTGATGGGGGGGTCTCCAGACATAGGAAAGAGGGGGGGGGGTTGGGAGCAAAGGGGGTGTGGGAAGTAAAGGGGGTCTGGGAAGTAAAGGGGGTGTGGGGAGGGGGCCACCGTTTGGAGGTCTCTGGTCTGCTCTACATCTGTGCTGACTTCTACGGCGACGGCGGTTACGGGGCTGTTGCGTCTCCCAAGCTGGTTCACTCTCCTCTGCAGGGTCATCACCAAATGGTTGTCTCTCCCCTCCAGCCGATGCGGTCTGTGACGGCCTCTCCACGGCTTGCCCTTTGGCCGCCTCCTCCTCTGGCTCTTCGATGCCGCTGTTGCTCCTCTTGGTACCTCGCTGCAGATCTTTGAGGTAGTTTTGCCTCTCGATGCAATGACCTCTGTGGGAGTTAAAGAGCTCCACCGCTGTCAGAGGATCCAGCCCGTCGACATCTATGAGATACCGGCAGACCAGGTACCCGGTGCGGTTCAGGCCATGGGTGCAGTGGACTCCAATCAGCTTGTCATTGTCCTGGTTCTCCTTCAGGAACTGTCTCACTGCCCGTTTGAAGCTCAGGATGGCTGCGTCAGAAGGAACCTTGCGACCCTCAGTGAGGATCTTGATGTAAGACCAGGACCGTGGGACGTCAGTCAGGCTGTAGTACCTTGTGGTGTAGGTGAGGTCGATGATCAGACCCAGCTCCTGGTTCTGACTCTCAAGAGAGTCCAGCAGGTCCCAGAGACCGAAGGATTTTGATGCTTGGACCTGGCAGTTCAGAGACGGTTTCAAAGGCACCTTGAAGGCGATGAACCGAGTCCCTGGTATCCTCTGTCCTACAGGAACGTAGTCTAACCATCTCTCAGGTACACTGTTCTTCTCCTTCTTCTTCCTAGAAGAGGGCATCTCAGCTGCTGAGTGGACTCAGGTGTTGTCAGTGTTTACTCCCAGTTGAAGTCATTTCAACATCGACCTGAAACATCAGACAAAGACACACAGTAATTTAAGGATAAGACACTTTCTTGAAAATATCTGTATCCATTTCAACTGAATTCAGACCACTGGTTTTTGAACTGGAACTGGCTTGATGTCGCTCTCTTCCTTTTCTAATTCTATTTTCACAAATAGAATTTGAAAATTTGAAACTGTGTTTTTAAGCATTTGGCCTGTCTGAGAGAATCTAGCCCAGATTTGATCAGTCAAAGTGTAGTGGTTTTATCTAGACCTGGTCCAATGTGGTCTGGATTTGAAAAGAAATAGTGAGATCTCGTTTCTTGCTTCTTCTTCCTCTTTTTTTTTTTTTTTTTTTTTTGAACAAATTAGAAAATTTGTTGTTAAGGCTTTAACCATAATCTCTTAACGCCCATTCTCAGTAGTAAGGACCCTCAACAGGTTAAGTTTTCCCATAATTTTTCCCTTAACTATCGAATCGAACCTGATTTCAGTGTGTGACGAGGAGCGCCGAAAAGCACCGTAAACAGCTTTTAAATAGTACAAATTTACTACATTAAAATGCTCATGGGTATTATCCGAATGTATTGTTTTACATTGATAAGTGACTAAAAGATGTGAACGTTTTACAGTTATGTACCGCATACGATTAGTAAGGAAACATTGAACAGAACTATTTTTAAATGGAGTCTGGATTGGAGTTCCTACCTGGCGAAGCATTTAAAAAAGCTGCGTTCTCACGACAAACGAACCGAACAATTAAAAATCCAAAAACACGTTAAACTGATGACATAAAAAGCGAAAATACAGGACGACCACGAAATTATTTCAATAACTGAGTTTCTACGTGCATGTAGGAACACGTTATCCTGGAACCACGTTCCCGCTGACGCAGAGATGACGTAGTGTCTGAAAGTATGCAACGTCGACGTCTCTACGCAAAGACGCTGGCTCGGGGATCCCGGAAGCGTCCTCGTATTGTTTACATTCTGGTCTTTGTTCTGGCAAATATGTCCAAAAAACGGTCCAAAAGCACCGAGACCCGGAGCCTGAGAGCCGTAATCGACCAGCGGCTGGCGGCGGCCGCGGACCACATCTTCTGGCTGCTGAAGGAGCGCGGACAGGCGGAGCTAGAGCAGCTGAGGGAGCTGGTCACGGAGCGGATCTCCGCGGCCGTGGAGGAGATCTTCACCGCGTTCAGAGCCACCAGGACGATCGACAGAGAACCAGAGGGGCCAGGGGACAGTCCGAGACCAGAACCCGGAGCAGACAGGACAGGTCAGTGTCCAGATAAAGATTCAACAACAGACTGCACGTGGAGGACACAGGGCACACACCAGAGTTCATTTGATAACTTTATATGAAGTGCTTTCAACCACATCACACAGTCTTCGTCAGTGAGTGTAAGGACAGTTTAAAATGTACAATCTCTGTATTTTATTTTATGTTCAGGAGTGTAACTGGATTTTCTATTAGTTCATCAACCATTTAGATCCACTATATTTTTCAGTCCACGGTTCAAACTGATTCAGTGAGTGTTTCTGATTAATAAAATCCGATCCCAACAATGACGTTAGCTTGTGCGTATATTTAATTATTTATTTATCTATTCATTTGTTTATTTTCACTATTAACGAATTGTTTTATTTTTTATACATACACATATATATTCTGTCTATATATGAATATATGTGTATATCAACGCCCATAATAAAGAAATATTTGATCAGTCTCTGTTGCAGCGATGCTGTCCAACCCCATAACTCAGCCTGAGACCTGAGTCTGTGGAGCAGTCAGTCAAACACTCTTATTCCTGTGTATTTAAACCTGGTTCAGGTTTTCAGGGTTCAGAGGAAAAAATGATGCATTTAAAAAACATCAGTTTCTTCCTTTTGTTTACCCTTCAGTAGCTTCAGGTCTGTTGTAATGTTTCCAGTCTACTGAAACTTTATCAGTCCTGTGAGGTCGAACACTGTCTGTCCTGCTAATGGGTTCATGTGACTGAGTATCAGACCTCAGCACTGTTTTGATCCTGATTGAAATGTGTCTGTAGCAGCAAGAATCACAAACTCATCTCACGTCAGATTTAAAATATTGATCAGATTTAAATCTTTATTCAGCTGCTTGTGTTCAAATGTAAGATCTGACCAATGAATTTGAAACAATTTTGAAGGTAGATTGCTTGTCTGCAAACATTGGCCCAGCTTCCTACCTTTGATGATTTGCTGTTTTTTGTCTTCCATGATAATCAATTGATCATTTTACTTGTTTGTGTTCTTTCTGAGCACCTGTGCTGTAACGGTCAGTTGATTTATTGATTTGTTGATTGAAATGAAATTCAGTTATATTAAACTGAATCTGGATCGGACAGAACAAGACATTTGAAAAAGTGTCATTGTTTCCTGATATTTTCCAGACAAAGGATCAGTCAATTAATCAAGATTAATCATCATGAAAATGAACAATGTGAGGATTGAAACATTTTCAATGATCTGATGATTTAAATGAACTTATTTCAGTGTATTTTCTCTGCAGAGTTGTGCCTGTCGGTCGGTGTCCGAAGTCTCACTGATGGAAAACACCTGAAGCCGGACACCCGACTGAAGGAGCCTCTACCTGGTACGTCCTCCAGACCAGAGACCATCTCTGAACCAGACCACCACCCAGCCTCTCCAGATGATCCTGCTGGTGAGGAGGAAGAGGACGACGAAGAGGCGACAACTCACTGCTGCAGAGTGTGTGGGAAATCCTTCGACAGGAAAGGCTTTTTGATGAAACATGTAGAGAAACACTCAAAGGAGGCAGAGTGTCTGTGCGGTCTGTGCGGTGAGTATTTGGAGTCCAGTGATGGTCTGAAGCTTCACCTTCAAACTCACCGCGACAGCAGCAGGACCTGCGACGTCTGCGGCAAGAAGTTCCCCTCAATCCGAGCTCAGGAGACGCACCTGAGGCTGCACACTGGAGAGAAACCCTTCAACTGCCATGTCTGTGGAAAAGGCTTCAACCAGAAGGGCAACATGGTGACGCACATGAGGATCCACACGGCAGAGAAGCCGTTCAGGTGCACCGTCTGCCGGAAAGACTTCAGCCACGCTGGCTCTCTGGAGCGACACATGAAGGCCCACGATGGACAGATGCCGTTCAGCTGCAAAGTCTGCAGGAAAGGATTTGCAAAGAGCACCGAGCTGAGGCGACACATTCGGAGCCACGAATCCAATGACCAGCCTGCCGTCAGGAGCAGACGCAGGAAACCGAGTCTGACTCCCTCCCACTGCTGCAAGGTATGTGGGAACGCCTTTCACAATAAAGGGAACTTTGTGCGGCACGCTGAGACTCATTTAAACGATCCTGAATATTGCTGTGGCGTCTGTGGAGAGCAGTCAGAGTCCTCAGAGAGTCTGCAGATCCACATCCAGAGCCACCGAGAAACCAGCAGGATCTGCGACATCTGCGGCATCAGCTTCAGGGACATGGAGATCCACATGAGGACACACACTGGCCAGAAACCCTTCAGGTGCAAAGACTGCGGTAAGGACTTCCCCAGAAAAGGGTCTCTGGAGCGACACATGAAGCTGCATGCCGGCGAGAGGCCGTACATCTGCGAGTTCTGTGGGAAGACTTTCATTGAAAATACCGTCCTGAAGAGACACATCAAGAGCCACACAGGTGGGAAGCCAAGGATTTACTCCTGCGATGTCTGTGGCAAAAAGTTCACCATGAGCCAGCATCTGGACGTGCACAAAAGGATCCACACTGGGGAGAAACCGTACACCTGCAGGGTCTGCGGGAAGAACTTCCGCCAGATTGGCAACCTGGACTCCCACATGAGGATCCACACGGGTGAGAAGCCGTTCATCTGCAGCCTCTGTGGGAAGAGGTTTCGCCAGAAGATCTCACTGGAGACACATGAGAGGTTCCACAAGAAGGAGAAACCATTCAGCTGCCAGCTCTGCAACAAAGGCTTTGTCCAGAAGATCGACCTGAAGAGACACATGCTGACTCACACCGGGGAGAAACCCTACAGCTGCCGGGTGTGCGGGAAGAGCTACCAGGAGAAGCGCTCGGTGGACTCGCACATGAAGGTCCACACGGGAGAACGAGCCGCCAAAGATTCAGCTGTGACACCGAACATGAAACGACAGGAAGGAGTTCACACTGACTTCATCCAGCTGTGATGAAATGCGGCAGGTGGACTCACCTACAGTCACAGAATCACTCATTCTAATGTTTTATCTATGAAGCCCCTTTTCTACTTTTCTCCTAAGTAGTCTCAAAAGTTGATTTCAGATGAAGGAACTTTTCCTGGAGCCCTGGAATTTTTTTTAGGAACTTTGGTACCTGACCTGCAGTTCCACTGCAAGAACCAGGGAACAGAATTGGTTCCTGGTCTCCAGCAACTGGTGTCAGGGTGGAGCTGCTCTGGAGGGTGATGGACTAATGCAAGATGCAGCAGAAGCACAAAGAAGAACACACAAAGTTTCCAGTTTAGTTCCTGTGGCTCCTCATGTCTCATTTCCACTGAAAGAACAAAACATGATGTAACATGGAGACGGTCTACTGCTCTCTACTCAAACATGAATCTGTATTTATTTGTTGAATCAATGCTGTTTTTTCAGACTGAGAAGACTTTTAAATTCATGTTCATCAGCTTCATTCAGACATGATTTCTAGAAGGAGACACAAAGCAAAGGTGATATTTATCACTGCTGGAAACCACAGAGAGGTCAAAAGTTTAATGTTAAATGACCAGAACATTTATGTAATGTGGTGCATAGTCTCATTCCGGAAAATACATGGAGTCACTTCTGCATAAAAAACCACAACAATCTGACCGTCAACCTGAAACTTTTCATCCAGTGTGAACTGAGATCAGATTAACACACAGCGTGCAGCAGACTGAACACATCACTGTAATGTAGTTATTATCTCAATCATTCTGATGCACTAAAATTTTAATATTGTTTAATAAATGATGAAACTCAAAGGTTAAAAAAATCCTCAGACAGTAAGAACAGTAAGAATCTGATAACATGACTGACTGACTGTGGATGAAAAAATATACAGTAAAATTCCTGACGTACAACATGTGAGCTAATACAAATGAAACTTAATGTCCTGTCATCAGAATCAAACTTTATTGTGTGTCACACAGAATAACAACAAATAGACGTGTATTTACACACACTCTTTAATAAGAGTTTGGCTGGAAAGTGCAAATATGTGTTAGAGGATCTACTCCTTCATGTTAATGTGAAAAATTCTATGAATATTTGTCCTGATCAGAGGTTTTATAAGCAGCTGGACTGAGTCATGGGTGGAGGGGTGAAACTGTTAGTTCCTCATCAGAAAAGGTTGCTGGGTCTCACAGGGTTTTATTAAAAGCAGCAGAATTCCCTCTGTAATAACTTTAAACCATGAAACTGATTAAAACATGTTTCAGTGGATTCACTGTGAGAGGAGGATGAGAGGAGTCAGGGTGGCAGCCTGAGAAGAAACTCCTGTCTTACCTGTCTCTTTCTCAACAAGTGATAAATATCACCTTTGCTTTGTGTCTTTGTCCATGAATGAATGAACATGAGGAACATGAATGAAAAGTAACAGATTCATGTTTAGATTTAGTCAAAAACAAACAGTTCCAGAGTGTCTGGAAAAGTTCCTGTGGTAATAATAATATATAATAATATAATAATAAAGTAGAAACATTAGAATGAAAAGAAAAGTTAGTTACAGCTCAGTTATAAAAAGTAAACATTTCTTTTTTTAAAAGCGTGACTTCCTTCTATTTCACAAAAGTCTGAATAATAATTTCATTCATGTTTTTAAATCAAAGGCTCAGAGTCTTAAACAAACACTGGTTTTCAACACCCTGAGAGTTTGTTTGTCTACAAAATCACAAAGTCTCAATTTTAAACTAAAGTATTTCTCAAGAGAGAAAACAGGAATTCTGGTGTTGGAGGTTTGAAAATGAATCATGTAAAAAAATAGTGAAAATAAAAACATTTCATATTTTTTGTCTGACTTTCTGTGGTTATTTGAAACTGATCTGACGGACATCCAGTTTCACATGCTCTGAGAATAAAGGGACATTTTTGGTCGATTGATTCTGATCAATCAGTCAATTATTGGTCTCTGAAATATCTGTTGGTCAGACTGAAGACTGTGAGAAAAGTCAGAAACCTGGCCACTGTGTGGTAAGTAAAGTTTAATGATTATTGTAAGGTTCAGTTAATTTGCAGATAAGTTTTAGAACAGCAAGTAAGAATAGACAGCTGAGGAACAAAGAGCAGTAAATAGTGGTAAGCATTATTATTATATACAGTTTATACAGCAAAGAAGAAGAAATGTTCTGTGTGATATATTCACAGTGTGTAAAGATAATGTTAACTTAAAGGTATTGTCTTACTGGACGACATGAAATGAAGTATTATGAGAAGGTGGATGTTAATGTCAGATCTGACTGTACAGGTGTTTCTGATAAACTGTAAACACCTGGTCAGGTCTGTGTCAGACTCTACCAGCAGAATAAAGTAGAGTTGGTGTATCAGTGATTATGATCCAGTGATATAATAAACTATAAGTTTGAAAATAGAGTATTTTCTCAGTCAGTTATCTGTTCTTCTTCCACTTCTACCAGTCAGACTCAGTCAAACGTCTGTGTTTACGTCTTCCTCCTCCAGTCCAGCAGAGTTCGCTGTTCGCTGTCGTCGCTTCGCTCTCCTCTGAGCGAACTGTCGTCGACGCGGAACTCGGTGTCTCTGTTTACCTCCCCGCTGCCTCTCTTTGTTCGCTGGAAGCTCAACTTGCGCAGAAAAGGGGTAAAATGTGCGCTGTGCAGCTGCTGCGGGTGTCGGTCCATGAGCGGATCAGCGCTGCCGCTGAAGACTTTCTCCTACAGGTGGAGAAAAGAGAAGAACCGGCTGAAGTCCCGGCGCTGAGAGCGCTGCTCACCGAGCGGCTAACGGCGGCGGCGGAGGAGATCGTCGGTCTGTTTGAGGAAACCGTGGCGGAGTACGAAGACAGAGTGGAGCGGTCGGAGCGAGAGATCTGCCGCCAGAGGAGGCTGCTCGATGCTGTGCTGAAGCCCGAAGTCAAACTGCACAGAGCAGGTCAGTGTCCCTCGCTGCCCCCGAATCAGCACACATGCTAATGTCAGCTAGCATGGCCCAGCTTCCTGAAGGTTTTTACTGAGCTGAAACGTGTTTCAGAGACAAACTGATGAAAACTACATCACAGGACAGAAACACATGAAAACGACTGAATTAAACACAAAGAGAACAACAAAAACACTGTTACCAGGTAACAACCACAACTCCCATAAGTCTTAGACAATGCATCGCCAGCAAAGCCTCATGGGAGCTGTAGTTTTTTCCCCCTAACAGACCATTGATGATTATTTGTTGACAGCAGCTGACACTTATTTTCATCATCAGTTCATCTGCTGATTTTTATTTTTTCTCTCTTTCTTCATTCTTAACATCGAGAAACCTCAGTTTAACTTTTCACATGTGCAGATCAAGTCTCTATCGAACATCTGGAAACATCCAGATGTGGAGTTCATGTCAAACTTGATGAAGAGAAGCATCAGAAACTCACATTTGAGAAGTTGCAAATGTCTGGGATTTATTACTGGAAACTATTAATCAATGATCAAAATAGTTTCTGATATAATTTTATGTTTATGAAATAATCAATCAACCAATTGACTAATCATTACAGCTCCATTTTATTGGTGTAATAACTGTTGAAGAGTTGCAGGATAAGGATGATTTAATAAGATAAGAGCTGTTGTGTCTGTTTATAGCATGTTTAAAATGATGCAACTGTTTGACCAGGAAACAAATCACTGATAGAAAATGTCTTAAAATAAAAAATTAACCAGTAAAGGTGAAGAGTTATATGTCAAATTCAGCAGCTCAGTCACATCTGATATCAGGGCTGAAGTGAAGTAGGATGTTGTGAACTAGCGTGGGATCATGGGAGTTGTTGTCCTCACCACCATTGTTAGCTTCTCCTGGTTTGGATTCCTTCAGTGTCAGTCGTTCAGGAGGTTTTTACCTGGAGCTGAATTATCCATAGAGGTCTGCTCCTCTCCAGAACAAACAGACGAGGTGATTATAACCAGTAGAAACGCTGAATAAAACAGTTTCACATTTAAAGTCAGTGGACACAGGACGTCTCTGACGAGCTGGGAGCTGAGATGTCTAACATTTACTCAGCTTTTTCTCTGATAATTTAAGATCCAGATCTTCAATGACTAAAATCTTTCATCTGGTTAAAATACATAGTTGAAAATGAGCAAGGTGTAAAAAGTGTATTATAGAAATGTGGCTTAAAACTGGATAAATTCTTCTGGCAAACGACCAGAGTAAAGGGGAAAAAAAGTAAGCCTGTGGCTAAAACTGGATCAGAGAAGATGAGGTCCTTCCACTACAGAGATACCTGGGCTGAGCCTGTGGTGACACCTCCCCTGTAAACATGTACAGGATCACTTTAATATATGTGTGTGATTTCACTTTAAGTGCTTGTACCAAGAAATCATTGCAGCAGAAGCTTTTACATATTGAAAACAGAATCATCTAAACTTTGAAACTAAATTCAGTCCAGTTTCACAGCTGTAGATCTGTTCATCAGCTGCGCCAACAACAAACTGAGTGATGTCAAAATGCAGTGGCAGCGTCACTTCAGAGCACAGGACAAAAGTCGCTGCTGAATGAGTTTTTAAGATCCTTCAGGAAACTGCATTTGTTGTATCTGCAGTGGCTTGAAAAGTCATAAACTTGTGTTTTCCACAACGTGTGTGTCTGTGTTTCAGCATGTCCTGCAGACGTCCAGCAGCTTCTGATCAGGACCGAGGAGCTTCCCCCTGAGCAGCAGGCGTGGAGCTCCAGTCTGGACCAGGAGGACCCAGAGCCCCCACACATTAAAGAGGAACAGGAGGAACTCTGGACCAGTCAGGAGGGAGAGCAGCTTCAAGGACTGGAGGAGGCTGATATCACCAAGTTCACATTCACTCCTGTCCCTGTGAAGTGTGAAGATGATGATGATGATGAAGAGAAACCTCAGTCCTCACAGCTTCATCAGAGTCAGACTGAGGAGAACAGAGAGGCAGAGCCTCCAGCCAGCAGCTCAACTGAACACATGGAGACAGAAGCTGATGGAGAGGACTGTGGAGGACCAGGACCAGACAGGAACTCAGATCCAGACAGACATTTACAACCTGTTAGTGAAGACAATTCTCTAGAATCTACTGAGACTGATGACAGTGATTGTGATTGGACACAATCCAATGAAGCTCAGTCAGGTGTAGAGGTGGTTAAAAGCAGTGAAGCTGAGACTGATATTGGATCTTTGATGAAGGAGAGACCGTTTCCCTGCTCCTATTGTGGTAAAAGATTCAGTCTTAAGGGCAACTTGAACAGACACATCAGAGACCACACTGGAGAGAGACCATTTCCCTGCACAGGTTGTGATAAATCATTTAAAGACAGTGGGTCGTTAACGGCACACATGAGATGTCACACTGGAGAGCAACCTTACAGCTGCTTATTCTGTGGGAAGAATTTCAGTGGGAGGGGAAACATGACCAGACACATGAGAATCCACACAGGAGAGAAGCCATTTACCTGCTCAGTGTGCAATAAAAGTTTTCATGTTAAAGAACACCTCAACAGACACATGAAGTACCACACAGGGGAGAAACCCTTCAGCTGCTCTGTCTGTGGTAAAGGTTGTGCTCAGAAAACAGACCTGAAGAAACACATGAGAGTCCACACGGGAGAGAAACCGTTTAGTTGTCCATTCTGCGGAAAGTGCTGTGCTGAGAAAGGAGACTTGACCAAACACATGAGAGTGCACACAGGAGAGAAACCATTCAGCTGCAACATCTGCGGCAAAAGTTGTGCCCAAAAGGGCAGCCTGAAGATTCACATGAGAATCCACACAGGAGAGAAACCATTCAGCTGCTCCGTCTGTGGCAAATGTTTTACTGTTACAGGACATCTAAAGAGACACATGAAGCTGCACACAGCAGACGGTCAGGTGACCAAGTCTCCAGACACTTTATCAGGCAAAGAGAAGGATGGAGTTGACAGCGTGGAACCGTTGAACACATCATGATGGTCCATCAGTCAGGAGGAAAGAGGACCTCTGAGTCAGTGAGGTGGTTTTGGGATGCAGCCATATATGAGCCCACGTTTATCAAGCTTCTCAGACTCGTGCCATTAAGGATATTTATTAGATTGTGATAAATAAACTAAAATCAGTGATTCAGTTGATCAACAGTGTTTCCCACAGACTCAGTTCTATTTGTGGCTGTAGCTGACTGGGGTGTAGCCTGGTAAATAATACCAGATGTAAACGGTGCTCCTCTACTTTGTGACACATGAATAACTTGTGTCACATTGTGTCGAACAGACGACCCTCATTGATCAGCTCCCGTCGGTGAGTGTTGACTACAGATTGTGATTGGTATGTGAGCTCAGCCTGTACATATACGCAGCAGCTCTGTGCACACCGAATGACAGACACACAGAGAGGGACCGTAAAGAGAATTCATTGATTTTGTTGATGGTCCACTGGCCCACTGATGTGGCAGGATTCCTCCCAGTGCTCCTGACGGCCAGTCTCACTATGACAGATGGTCTGTTAGGGCTGGGTGATATGACTTCAAATCAGTATCATGATTATTTCAAACTTTTACCTCAATTATGGATATTGAATGATTCTTTTGTCTCTTATCAGTTTCTCTCTTCTTTTGAGTTGTGCTCTCTTCATCGCTTTTGTCCGTCCAGATTACAACACAACCCCAGAGTTAACAAACTAAAACAGGGTCAGCGCTGTGTTTCGAAAAGTCTCAGTTTTAGGGGCTGAAAACTCAATGAGCCTCAGTATTTGTGTACCGGTAGTTCACATCACCAGCTTCACTTTGAGTGAGCTCGGACGAATGTTAGTTGGACGGGGCAGAGCCACATGACTGAACACAAGGTAGTATTTATTAAGGGGTCAGTTCATGAACCCAGCATTGGGGAAAGTATTGGCTGAATTAACCGACATGAACAAGACTAAGTTGTGAGAGGGTCTAAATGTCCTAAGTTCACACACACAGTTGGACAATGAAATAAGATTTTACCCATTTAAAATATAAAAAATAAATAAATAAAAAATCAGAAGGAAAAAAAACACCAACTTATCCACTGATTCGGATCAGATCAAAGTAACATGCGCTTAAAAATGCCACAATCCTCTGGAGGGAACAGATCGACCTGGAGAGCAGGCTGAGGTGTTAAATTTATCTCCAGTGTCGAACCAAACACACAAACCTGAGAACATGGAGGCAGTAAAGACACATTTCCTCTGAGGAGCTTGATAAGCATGGAGCCTGAACACCACTCACACAAAGGCTGTGTGAATGAAGAAAAAAATGGATGCTGCTGTTCGGCTAAAATTCAGCTTTATTATCCCCAATGTCGCTGTTATAAACAATGTGTTTATAGTTTATAGGAGAAAATTGACACGTCAGACACACAGTTGAAGGACCTGAAGAAGAAGCTTTGACTCGGAGAAGAACACCTGTGGACGACTGATAGGAGCTTCTTTGGCTTATTGTAACTGAAACACTCTGAACTGCTTTTTTACTAACTGTTGTATAAAATCCTGTCTGAGGAGTAACAGATATCTGTTGCCTGAAGATGTTTCACAGCAGGATTGTTTTGCCAAAAATTGTGGTTAATATTCGCAAAGTTGCAAGTCAGCAAGATGTTTTAAGAACACTAATCATAATATGTGATTATATAAAGTAAAAATAAAAACAATCTCCTTTTATGATTGTGTGAAAAAAACTATTTTAGTAGGTAAGTGTGAGCATTGAAATGTACCTGAATTCATTCAGTGCTTCTTTAACACAGCTCCACACATCGGATCAGTCTGAGGACGAGTTTGGGCAGAGGGGATGAAGTCTAGGGAAGCTGGTGCTCACATAAACAGTGGTCACCTTAACACATCTGACTTTACATGTACACAATTTGGATCATCCTCTGCATCAGTAGTAGTAAAACAAATGTTGTATAACCAGATTGTTAAATAATAGGCTTGTTCCTGCTCATTTTTCCACAACTGTAGAAGATAAATTCAGACTTGTATCGTGATAAATCCCTGAGTCATAAAGACTTATTGTATATTAGTCTGTCAGGAGCCGTCCTGCAGAATTAATTTTAACCTGCTACACTGAGTTTATTTTGTTCACCAACACTCCTGTCACTGAAAGTCTGAATCTTTACTTGATGTTTTATATTGAATTATTTGGTTTTATGTCTACTGGTTGATTCAAAATGAAAAAACAAACAGTTCTCAGAATAACAACGTTGTCACTCATCAGAGTAACTCAGTACAGTTACTGTACCTGAATAAAAACTGTAGGTGCTTGTAGTTTTCTACTGTATTTCTCAGTCAGTTATCTGTTCTTCTTCCACTTCTACCAGTCAGACTCAGACTCAAACGTCTGTGTTTACGTCTTCCTCCTCCAGTCCAGCAGAGTTCGCTGTTCGCTGTCGTCGCTTCGCTCTCCTCTGAGCGAACTGTCGTCGACGCGGAACTCGGTGTCTCTGTTTACCTCCCCGCTGCCTCTCTTTGTTCGCTGGAAGCTCAACTTGCGCAGAAAAGGGGTAAAATGTGCGCTGTGCAGCTGCTGCGGGTGTCGGTCCATGAGCGGATCAGCGCTGCCGCTGAAGACTTTCTCCTACAGGTGGAGAAAAGAGAAGAACCGGCTGAAGTCCCGGCGCTGAGAGCGCTGCTCACCGAGCGGCTAACGGCGGCGGCGGAGGAGATCGTCGGTCTGTTTGAGGAAACCGTGGCGGAGTACGAAGACAGAGTGGAGCGGTCGGAGCGAGAGATCTGCCGCCAGAGGAGGCTGCTCGATGCTGTGCTGAAGCCCGAAGTCAAACTGCACAGAGCAGGTCAGTGTCCCTCGCTGCACCCGGAAAACCCCGAGTGATGCCGAGACCGAAACGTGCTTGATGCGAAATCAGATTGTATTTCAACCGATTCTCGCGCTTATTCGACTTTTCTCGACACGTTGATGAAAATAGGAGTTTGTCACGAGGTGACAAGTGAAATCTGCTCTGCTGCACCTGGTGACAGCTCCTCTATCTGACAGTAGCTAAGCTAATGCAGCTAGCTGTTGCTTCATATTAATCGTGTGTTGGCAGCGCCGCCTGCTGGACAAAGTGTGAACGACAGTCACAAAGTTATGAGACAGTGAATCGTTTATCTACAATAAATAAAAACTCTGCTGTTAGAGACAGTGAATATATCACCTACTCATACAGCTCTTTTTAAACTCAGGTCACACAAAAACAACATTACAATAGGAGACAAACACAAAGAGTGACCATAATAACTCAGACACAACAACACAACAGGTCTTCAGCTGGAGAGTCAGGTTTAGTCCCCCTCGCTGTTTTCAGGTACCAGGTGTCACTCAGAGGACTTTAGGGTGTGCTAGGCCTTATATGAGGAGGAGGATCTGGACTGTAACCCTGAGTGTAGTGGCATCAGATCCAGGGTGATATGAGGTCTTAGTGGGTGCTGCAGAGTTTTGGACTGTGACTGAGTAACAGTGTCTTGGTTGGTCTTGGTCACAAAAGCACAGGACAGGTTTCTGTGATGTTCCTCAGGTGAAAGTTTCAGGACTGAACGACTGTCTGATCTGCAAAGTTGTTTTCAGCAGAGTTTGACTGGAGGAGGTCGAACTGTTACAGTAGGAATTATCCGCCATTGTTGTTCAACTGCATTTTATCAGTGAGCCATTTTCCTTTATTACCACACACACACACACACACACACGCTGTAGTGGAGCTGAAATGATTAATTGATTGACAGATGATTAGTTGCCAAATCTCCTAATAATCATCAATTAATCATTTGCTCATTCCAGCTTCCAAAATTCAAGGTTTTGCTGCTGTTCTCAAATACTGTGTTAATTCTCTAATATAAAAAAGACATTAAGAATACCAGTGAAACCACTTGACAAAAAAATTATTTGCAATTAATCTGCAATCATTATGAGAATTGATCCATCGGTTGAGTTCCAAACACTTTAATGGTCACAGCTTCTCTTTTGTCTGAACATCTCCGGTGTCGGGACTGTTGATGAAGTCGCCTCGGGCTAAATTGAGATGGACATTCTTTACTATGTTCAGATGTTTGGTTGACTAAATGTTAAACTGAGGAAATAACTGGCAGATTAATCGATAATTAAAGTAATTGTTAGTTTCAGCTCTAAGTATATGATTAAAAGAAAAAACAAACTTACGGGACATGTGGGAAGATTTGGTGAGTCTGCAGGAGAGGAGTTAATTGGACAGTTCAGGTGGTGACAGCCGATCGATTGATCCAGCATCTGTCAGAGCAGCTGCTGGACCAGAGGGTGATTCATGGACAACTGGAGCTTGTGCTTGTTCATATGCGGCAGTGGAGGATTTATGGACAAATGCGAGTCATGCTCATTGATGAGGGAACGTACACCAGACTGACTGATTGACAAGGAAAGGCTCAGACCCTGTACTGGACGCACTGATCGGTGATGTTGTACAGGGTTTCGTTGTTTATGTTTCAGGAGACCTCACCAGCTTTGGTTGAGAGATACCGATGCACAGTTTTTGTTTGATCCATCCTAACAAAACATTACACTTCCAGACAGAAGGTGTAGATGACAACAGGCTCCTCTAGCTCTGATCTCTTGGTTCGGCTGAGGAAGGAGACCGTCACAGTTTGGCTCTGCTTGGGTAGGAAGGAAGCAGTTGCAGGTCTGTGGAGTGATCTTCCTCTGTGAAGAAAGATTTTTAAGAGTTACTCTACTGATTTAGCATCTTATAACATCGTCGGGCTCATGTCAGTTACAAAAGTCAAAATCAGCAGAGTGAGAGAGGTGATCTGTTTTATTCCACACTTTCTTCTTCTTTGTCAAAACCTGGCACCTACATGATTGGAGTGTGGGGTGTTATGCTAGTAAGAGCTAATGTAGTGTGCAGCAGAGATGAGGGGTGGGGGACCCTCAGACTTTTAGTCTTCAGACCCATTGCACGCTGACTCAGGTGACATCACCTGAGGAGATTTATGAGTTTTCACTCAGCTCCCTCTGGAGACACTGGAGGATTTTTACAACTTTTTTTCACAAATGCACAAATTCCTCCACAACTACTGGAAACAGAATTTGATGTGTAAAATCCATGGAGTCCCCCTTTAAGCCCTCTCTACTCTCCCCTGCAGACGACCAGCAGCAGTTGGTGAGGAAGGAGGAGCTTCCTCCTGAGCAGCAGAAGTGGAGTCTGGACCAGGAGGACCAGGAGGACCAGGAGGTCCAGACTCAGCTCCTACACATTAAAGAGGAACAGGAGGAACTCTGGACCAGTCAGGAGGGAGAGCAGCTTCAAGGACTGGAGGAGGCTGATATCACCAAGTTCACATTCACTCCTGTCCCTGTGAAGTGTGAAGATGATGATGATGAAGAGAAACCTCAGTCCTCACAGCTTCATCAGAGTCAGACTGAGGAGAACAGAGAGGCAGAGCCTCCAGCCAGCAGCTCAACTGAACACATGGAGACAGAAGCTGATGGAGAGGACTGTGGAGGACCAGGACCAGACAGGAACTCAGATCCAGACAGACATTTGGAGCCAATTAGCGATGACAACTCTCTAGATTCAACTGAAGCTGAGACTGAAGTCAGTGACGATGATTGGAAGGAGACAAAGAATCTACCAGGTTTAAAAGGTTTAAAGACTCTCAAGAATAATAAAGTTCCTACAAGTGATATGAGCTGTAGTACTGGTGAGAAACCATTTAACTGTTCCCAGTGTGGTAAAACATTTAGCTACAGTTACCTTCTTAAGAGACACATGAGAACTCACACAGGAGAGAAACCGTTTATCTGCTCAGTCTGCGGTAAAAGATTTTCACAGAAAGGAAATATGGTTTATCACATGGGCCGCCACACAGGAGAGAAACGATTCAGCTGCAGTGTTTGTGACAGGAGATTCACCTGGCTCTCTGGGGTCAAAAGACACAAGTGTGTTGATGACACACTTGTGTCAGTAGGTGAAACAGAAGCTGACGGAGAGGACTTTGGAGGATCAGAACCAACCAGGAACTCCGATCCAGATAGACATTTACAACCAGGTATTGATGACAAGGCTTCAGACTCTTTTGGACCTGAGACTGAAGACAGTGACGGTGATTGGCAGGAGACCAGGGGACCTCAGTCCTGTCATATTGACGATGCTGTAAATACCAACAAGAAACTATTTAACTGCTTCAAATGTGGTCAAATGTTTGGCTACAAGAAAACTCTGCTGGCACACATGAGAGCTCACGCAGCAGAGAAACCATTCAGCTGTTCAGTCTGTGAGAAACGTTTTTCATGGAGTGACAGTTTACAGAAACACATGAAAATCCACAGTGGAGAGAAACCGTTCAGCTGCTCGGTGTGCGGGAAATCTTTCATTCAAAAAGGAAATCTTCAGGTGCACATGAGAACTCACACAGGAGAGAAACCATACAGCTGCTCCATTTGTCTTAAAGGTTTTTCTCAGCGCTCACACTTAATTGATCACATGAGATGTCATACAGGAGAGAAACCTTTCAGCTGTTCAGTTTGTGAGAGGCAGTTTAGATTTAGAGGGGGTGTTGTAAGACACATGAAAATCCACATGGGAGAAACCAGTCAGCTGCAGTGTTTGTCTCAAGAGATTTACTCAGAGGTCAGGAGTCAATTACCTTAAACGTGATGTCGAGAGCAGCAGCAGACATGAAGGTGCCTGATCAGCTGTTAGAGAAAAACAGTAAGATAGAGACAAATCATGTTCATCGGAAGTAACAGAAGTCGGGTCAGCCAATGATTCCTCCAAACAGCAGAAATATAAATGTTCTGATAAAAACAAGAGCACATTCAGGTTCTGTACACCAGCTGTTTACAGATATTTGAAGTTAGCTCTGGTCACTTTACATTTCAAAGAGCTAAAAAATTAAATTGAAAAAAGTCCTAAAATGACCTGCAGACAAATGACTGTTTAGTTCACACCATCAGTACAAACTGTGGATTCATGAACCTGAATGTTGTAAGGTGTTTCAAGGTCACATGACCCAGCAGGAAACCAAAAACACAATACAACAGCCAAACTGTTTCCTCATCTGTTGGTGTCGCAGAAGCCGAATGATAAACATAAAAAAAAAAGTCAAAACTGGTTTAAATAAATAAAAACTAATGAAATACTTGATGGACCTGAGGTGGTGTGAAATACTGTCAGTTTTACCTGTGTAATGAGCAGAATGATGATTTTACTTTCTAAAATTTATCTTGTATCAAAAAATGTGACTCAGCTTGACAGGTGTTTATATTAGCTGAACTGAGCGTAACGAACAAGAAAATTAAAAAACACAATTGTTACTGTCAGTTTACGGCTCTGTTTAAAGCTTTCTGTTGCTCCTAATAAAATTTATTTTAAGATTTTGGCTTTTGTCTTTTTCTTGTTTCTTTGGTGTCGGTGGTGATAAGAGAAATATGATCAGAAAACATTTAAGTTGACATAGTACAAATATCTACCTATGAAATAAAACCACTGAATGTAACTTTACAGCCAGTGAAAAAGAAATGAAGGAGTAATATAACATCTTTCCCTTTTTCATATATCTGCACTGAATACTTGCACTTTCTCATTAAAAAAGTTTGAAGGAAATTAAAATAATTGTTCTTGGGAAAATATGCAGTCAAAATATGTTAAAGTTATCAGCTCTGAAGCTACAACATATTTATTTCTATATTTCTATGGCTCTCAGTTTTTTATGCCGGACCGAATACTTTCTTGATGATGAAACTCTATTGATACGACACAGTATCAAAATCTGGTTGCTAGAAAATGAAAAGTGGAGATATGAATTCTTGAAAATTAAAGATTCTTCATTTGGGTGTGAATGATACGCCTCTTTTCCTGCTGGCATAGATCAGAAAGTCTCTCCTGGGTCACTTTAGATCTCAGCCAATTTCTAATCCTCCTCACAGCACAGAAACTTCTCTCAGACGTTGCTGATCCACTTGGCATATTTAGTGGGTTCAGTGAGCCCCCCCCCCCAAACTACACCCATGATTAAAATTAGGCCTTCCCTTACATGTCAGACATTTGGAAGGGTTTCTCCCTCATTATATTCATGTCCTCCTTTCTGTCTTTGTGCATCATTGTCAAGCTCAAGCACACATCAGAACAGTCAAGTATGAAAAGGAGTTAGTTGCAGACAACCACTTAAATTCATACCTTGTCTGTCTCATTCATCACATCACTAAGATTAACTTATATATATATATATATATATATATATATACACATGCTTCTCCCCAGTCCTCCCCTTGTTAGTCCTCTCTCCAGGCATTCAGTTTTAGTAAAGAAGACCCAGAGGATCCTTCAACTAAACAGTTATATAGTTTAGAGATAAAACTCTTTCCAAAGCATTGTTTTACCTTTATGTTTAACTGACTCTTTCACCTGTAGGCATTGGAGGAAATGTTTGTATGGGATATCACACCTGGCGACCAATTCCTCAAACGACGTTAAGGTCCCATTATCTGATACCATGAGTTCCCTATTGTCTTTAGACCTTTTCCAGTCTCCGTCATAAAACCTGCATCTGCTCTGTCTGGTGGGAAGAGGTGGTTACTCCATGTTGAGCTGACGTGCTAGTGGAAAGATTTTAATGTAAACTCAACAGTAGGACAGCTCTTACACCGGTCAGAAAATAGAAATCCGGTTATCTGTAAGTAATAAGTTACCTGAGAATAACAGAAAAACTGAAAGCTAAAGAGAGACTTCAAATTGGCTTTTTCTCTCTCATCATTTGGCCACACGAAGGAGACGTCACAGTTCGACCCTGTCACAAACACACAAACCATAGAAATGCAACTTCACTGGAATTAGTGTTCACATGTTTTTCATGATGTCTATGTGTCTGTTTTCCAGACGTCCAGCAGCTGTTGGTGAGTAAAGAGGAGCAGCAGGAGTGGAGCTCCAGTCTGGACCAGGAGGACCCAGAGCCCCCACACATTAAAGAGGAACAGGAGGAACTCTGGACCAGTCAGGAGGGAGAGCAGCTTCAAGGACTGGAGGAGACTGATATCACCAAGTTCACATTCACTCCTGTCCCTGTGAAGAGTGAAGATGATGATGATGATGAAGAGAAACCTCAGTCCTCACAGCTTCATCAGAGTCAGACTGAGGAGAACAGAGACTTTGTGGGAGGAGAGGACTGTGGAGGACCAGGACCAGCCAGGAACTTAAATCCAGCTGGTCACTCACAGCCAGTTATTGATTACAAGGCAACAGAATTCTCTGTAGCAGAGATTGAAGTCAGTTGTGATGATTGGGAGGAGACGAGCGAATGTCACTCAGGTTTGAACTCTGTGGAAAATAAAGATGACCCTGTAAGCGATGTTAGATATAATCCTCCCGACAAACCGTTTAGCTGCCCTGAGTGTGGCAAAAAATTTACAAAAAGTGGATTTCTGGAGACACACATGAGAATCCACACAGGCGAGAAACCATTTAGTTGCTCAGTTTGTGGAAAAAAATATACAAGAAAGGGATATCTGATACAACACATGGCTGTCCACAGAGGGGAAAAGCGACAGAGCTGCAGGATTTGTAACAAAAGATTTGTTTGGCACTCAGGAGTGGAGTGTCATAAGTGTGTCACAGGGATCTCGCAGCTACATCTCACCTCTTCACCTGCTGCCGGTATGAGATGTAACACTGGTGGCAAATCATCGAGCTTCACTGAGTGTGATAAAAGACTTTGCTACAGTCATCATCTGAAGAAAGACATGGGAGCTCACACAGAGGAGAATCTGTTCAGTTGCTCAGTTTGTGGTAGAAAGTTTACACAAAGGGGATATCTGATACAACACATGGCACGACACACGGGGAAGGTACGATTCCGCTGCTGTGTTTGCGACAAAAAATTTGCTTGGCGTCATGAGCTCAAAAACCACAAATGTGGCGGTGAGTCCTCGCGGCTTCATCAGAATCAAACTGAGGAGAAGAGAGAGGCGGAGCCTCCAGCCAGCAGCTCAACTGAACAGAGGAAAACAGCAGCTGATGGAGAGGACGGTGGAGGATCTGATACTGATGACAAGACTTCAGACTCTTCTGTATCTGAGACTGAAACCAGAGATGATCACTGGAAGGACAGCGGGGAACCTCCCCCAGGTTTAGATTCTGTGGGAAATAGTGATGCCCCTGTGAGCACTGTGGTTAGTAGCACTGACAAGAAGTCGTTTATCTGTTCTGAGTGTGGTAAAGCATTCTGCGGTGAGGAAAATCTGAAGATGCATATGAGAACTCACACAGGAGAGAAACCATTCAGCTGTTCATTTTGTGACCAAGGATTTACACAAAAAGGATATTTGACAAACCATATGGAGGTCCACACAGAGGAGAAACGCTTCCTTTACTGTGTGTGTGGCAAAAGATTTGCTTGGCGTTATAACCTCAAAGACCATAAGTGTGTTGGCGAGTCCTCACAGCCTCCTCAGAGTCAGGCTAAGGAGGAGAGAGAGGCAGAGCCTCCAGCCAGCAGCTCAAAAACTTCAGACACCTCTAAGCTTCAGGCTGACGTCAGTGATGATAGTTGTAAGGAGACCAGGGACCATCAATCAAGTTTAAACTCTCTAAACATTAATGAAGTGCTTGAAGGTGACACAACAAGTGATGATGTGGAGAGACCGTTCAGCTGCTCTCAGTGCGGTAAAAAATTTCGCCGCAAGAAAAATCTTCAGGAACACATGAGGATTCACACAGGAGAAAAGCCCTACGGCTGCTCAGTGTGTATGAAATATTTTTCATGCAGCGGATCATTACGAAAACACCTGAGAATCCACACTGGTGAGAAACCTTTCAGCTGCTCGGTGTGTGGGAACCGTTTTACCGAAAGTGGACATCTGAAGGTGCACATGCGAACGCATACAGGAGAGAAACCATTCAGTTGTTCAGTTTGTGGTAAAAGCTTCACCTGGAGGCAAAGCTTCAATAATCACATGAAATATCACACAGACACAACTAGAGAAATGAACTAGAGACACATTGTGATTTTCCCAGGAGGAAAGCCAGACTCTTCTGTGCAGAGTTGTGTTTATAGATGCAGCCAAATCTAAACACTTCTCATTCACTACTTGTGTCAATGTAAAGTCAAGTAGGAGAGAAGAGCTACTGCTGCGCTGCTCTTTGGCTCAAACTCTGATTCATCATTTCAATGTAATTTCTCTTTCAAACAGAAAAGTTCACAGTTCAAGTTTAAAACACTCTTGAACTTGAGAAAGAAGTTAAGAAGCTGCACGGACCTGGCCAATCACTGAGGGAAGGGGAGTGATTATTGGATTGTCTAATCAAAGAAGCACTTTGGTTGATGCCGAGACCTGTAGCGTCTCTGAAATGTACTGAAGCAAGAAAATCTAAACTGTCTTCAAACACCTGTGCCTTATTTATGTCAACAAACTGAAAGTGAAGTGAAACTGAGAAGAGTCCTGAAATAATCTGCACACAGATGACAGTTCACAGCATCAAGACAAATCATGAACTTATGAACTGTGGTGTTGCCACATGGTCTGAGGTCACATGACACAGCAGCAGAACAATAGCATTGCCAAATTATTTCTGAAAAGTAGAGGTGGGCATAATGAAGGGACTCTTCTTCTACAGTGTAAAATATGCCACAGTATTTATTTATATCCAAGATTATTTCGAGAAGAAAGGTGCATTTTATAGATAAAATAAAAAGATGGGAGTGTCTGATAAATATCTAACATTTTATCAGACTGATTCAACAATAATGTAAATCTGAAAATACAATAAAAGTATTTTCTGTATAGCTACCGTGATATAAACTCTGAGGAAAGATATCCAAGGGTTAATAAAATCCTGTTGTCTCAGTAATGATGTATTGCCCAATATTCACATTCATTGAATAGGATTTTGTTTTTTTATAACAGTGGTGAATATATTATATCCTCTCGTCTGTTTCATGAGTAGAATGATGATTCTATTTTCTGTACTCTATTTTCTTTGTACTGTATGATACATGGATCAGCCCGTCAGGTATTTGAATGTACTGAATCTGCATTGTAACTAACAAGAAAGATGATAAAACATAATCATGAAGGTTAGTTTATGGTTTCAATCAGTAAAGTTTATTATAGAAAAAGAACCTGGTCTTATTTTTATTCTGCATTTCTAAATAAAAACTACCCAGAGATGTCCTGGTACTTTATACTGCACAGAATTAAATTAACCGTCTTTTACAGTCTGAAAATCTGGTCTCTCCTTAGTTAGTAAACTCAGACTGTAGTTGCTGGTATCCAACACTAGAGGGCAAACCATCAACACAGAAAAGGCTGAGAGTTGAAGTTCCTTTTCCTCCAAGACAGTATGAGAGGGTCGTCGCTGAGCTCAGACACATCAACATTTAAAGACAGAGATGTTCATCTTGAGAATAAGGCAGTTTTAAAACTACACCCTTCACACAGCACTAAACTGATGCTGAGACATCAGCAGACTGAATCTAACATTGTACTAATACCCAGTATTAATACCCAGTATTAGTACGGTGTTTCTAATGAAGTGCTCAGTCAGTGTTTTTCCACTTTATTCGAATATGAGTGAGGATAAAGAATAAAATAATAATTTAAATGCTTGAAAACTGGCGAGTGAGCCTTGAGGGAAGTGGTGTTTTAAAAAAATTTAAAAGAAAATATGGTAGATCAGACACCTGCCATGGGGCCTGGTTTGATCCTGGTGTTGCAGACTAACTCTAGGGAATGTGAATGTGACCTCTCTGGTGTGGGAGGTGGAGCAGTAGATAAAGCTGGGCTGGCCTCAGAACTGGCTCTGGAACACCGTCTCTGCAAAATCTGAATCCTGAAGTTAACTTCTCTTTCTGAAGAAAGGGTTATCTGAGGTTAAGAGTTATGTTCCACTTCACTTGTCCCTTGTGAGATTTATTGTGAAAAACTAAACTAACCAGATAAAATGAAGTAAGATGTCACACACAGTAAAATAATGTAGATCATATTGAATTATAATGTATCCAGTCAAGAGGACCTGTCATGAAATTGTAACCTGTTTCACATACAGTTTTACTGATGGTTCAAGGTTTTTGGTGTTTCCTGTCCCACAACAGGAATTCTGATCACAGACCACAAAGGTCATGACAAACATGATCACTTCCTCCTTGAAGATGAGGATCTTCTGATGATTTATTCCACACATACACATCTATATCGTAGGTTTGATACCTGCTTGATTCATCTCTAATCTTTCATGCTGTCTTTGTTACTCCTTGACTTTCTCTGTTAAATTGCATCATCACAACTTCATGCACGAAGACCCATCATTTATTTTGTCCACATTATATAAGCTTCAATATACTGAAACATGAAGACAGCAAATGGAAGATTTTTGCTCGTTGTCCCAGTTCTGTCCATATTAGATCTGCTGTTTAGGATATTATTGATAGAAATCATCAATAAGTTAATGAAGGATATACTGTACAAACCACCTCCAGTGAAAACCTGTCTTTGCAGGTACTCTAAAACATCTGGTCTGTTTCCTTATTGTTTAATGTTGACATATTTATTAACCCTGTACATGATTTGAGCCATGTTGGAATCGTTACGTTTTAGAGTCTTTAATTCAGTTAGTTTGTTGGTTAATGGTAAGAATGAAAATTAGTCATTTGTATGTGTTTTATATGCATTTCCCCTATAGTTCCACGCAGTAATTAATATGGAACTATAACGGACAATTATAAATAAAAATAGGATCATTCAATTTTAAATTGGATAGGTGATGTGACATCAAAGTGATGATAAGAAACAATCAGTACAGCACGGGCCTCACAGAGGATTTTATTTTGAAACTTGTCCCCGGAAGTATGGGTTAATATTTTCTTAACGATCATAACGATGCTAGCAGTAAACGGAGTCGTTGGCTAAATCCAAATAACGAGTGGAAACCCGTCGTTTTGTGAAGAGATCAGCGATGGACCGACACCGTAAACTGTTGGATGTGGTTTTTAAATCTGAGACGAAGCTGAGAGGAGAAGGTTTGTTCTCTTTCTTCCGCGGGAAACGTTTACTGCTCTGCTACGGTTGCTAAGCTAACGTTAGCTAAACAATTCACCTCTGAGCCCGGGAGTAAAACGTTTTCCATCAGAGGAATAATTTCCCTGGACATCAGGAGCCTTCAGTTGTATGTATGTAGTGTAGTGTGGTCTTTTCGTTTGATGAAAGGAAAGAACTGTCACGTGGGAGCTTTAAAACTAGTTTTGAATATTTTTTGTTTTATAAAATCCATGTGTGAACTGTGGAACGCTTCAGGTGCAGTAAATCTGTAGTTATTATATTACAAACAGTTGCAAGTCTGTGGCTGTGTAACACACAAAATAGGATAAATTATGCCTTTATTCAAAGTTCTGTCTTTGAGTTATTCCTCATTTACTTTTGGAAAACTTAATTTTCTATGACAGCTACCATCATGACAATAAACCCAAAACAAAACAGAAGAAAAATGTTTTGTTTCTTGTTAGAACAAGAAACTTTAACGTTTTTATCAGACGTTTTCTCACGATATAGGAAGAAATCTTTAATGTACTGTGACATTTTCTTGTTTTATTATTTATTATTATTCTATTTAAATAGGAATTGTTCCTTGTTATAACTAAATATTTCTTTATCTCATTTTTATCTGAAAGCCAATAGTCACAACAAACTCTTGCCATTACAACATAAGTTAGTTTGTTGTTATAACAACAAACTTCCTCATGGTGTTAAATAAGAAAAGGTCAATGACTAACTGAAGAGACACTGAAGCCAAGAGCATGCAGACTGATTCACACATACCTAGAGATAGATCTAGTTGTGTCAGCATGTTTTGTGGCTTTCATAAAATAATAAACATGAAAACAATATTTTAAGGGCAAAAGGACAGTGTAAAAAACACAGTATGATTTGTTTCTCAACAGACATCTGACCAAGAGGGCAGGCAGGACGAAAACAAGATGATGTCACAACCCCAGTTGATGCTGTTAGTCAGGTGGTTTGCCAAATCTGTAGCAATGTTGTGACAAAATTTCTAAACAATGAATGAATTCATCAACTGACAGGAAATAAACCTGTAATTATTTCAGTTCTACATTCTATATTCCAGTTTGTCTAATGTCTGTCTTTGCTGATTTTCCTGGTGTCCTGCGATATCACAGTGTTTCCCTGATATTCATTTTGCAGCGGCAGCTCGCCAATGCAAAATTATTGCTGCTGCTGCTGCTGCAGAGACATGAAGTTGCAATCACACGCCTCTGCAGAGGACTTTTAATTTGAAATGATGGCTAAAGTGGAGACATATAGCTATACCTGGCAAAGGTGAGCGGAAGCAAAGAAACAGAGAGCGAGAGAATGATAGATTTAAGCAGCTAACATTAGGTTAGATTTTTATTAGATATTTACAGTATATTCACTCAGACCGCAGTCGTACATGCACCGCCCAGCTACAACAAAACCCCTAATAGTTAGAATGGCCATCAGTAGTACTGGGACAAATCCCAGTGGACCACGACAAGAAGAGGCATAACATTGAAAGCACTTTGTTTCTTTGTGGAGGACTATGTGATCAGGAGGCAGCATTTCAAAAAAACATTCCTATAGAGATGCAGTGTGCAAGGAGCAGCTGGTATTTTCTCCACTTTGATTTCCAGTTTCTCTTTTACTGACATAGTTGATCTTCATTAACACAGACACTCAGGACTGCAGGTTTATTTTCTGACCACCAGTTTGAATTATATCAGCTAAATTTCTGTCAGTTTGGTGCATGAATCTAATCAGATGTAACAAATTCAGAACCATTAATCCCGTCACTGTTGTGTTTACAGGCTTGTACCTTTTGACTTGTTATTGGAAAACTAGATATTTTCTGGCACAATCTTTTATGCAGATGGTTCAACCAGGAGGAGTTCAGACTGAAACTGTTGATTAAATTGATTATTATGAAGCACAAATAAATAGAAGAGAGATAACTAGTAGGTAATTTTAAGATGAAAACACATAAATGTGGAGACCTGTGAAATACTAGCTTGTTAAGGGTTTTAAACTGACCTGTTTCTAAAACTTTTGTGTTTATTTATAGTCCATCTCTTCTTTCAAGTTTTTTTTGGTCAACACCCAGTAGGTGTCACTTGTCAGCAAGTGCTGCGACAGTGATTACTGTCCATGCAGCTATAAACTCTTCCATAGTGAATTGCAGCATCTTACCAGAAAATTTGATTTGATTTTTTTCCATTTGGGTTGTTTGGGTTCATCAAGTTATTTTCATCCCTGCTTTTCTGTGCACCAACATAGTGTCTGTGTGGTCTATAAATATACCTTTTTACCTCTGTTAAGAGAGTGGGCCCTGAAATGTACTGTAAGAGCTTCTATAATCAGTGAATCAATTCATTGGATCATCAATGATACAGCATTTAGTCAGTGATTGTATAACTGCCACTGTAATCAAAGAGCTCTTAAATGTTATCAAGCTGGTTTTCATGGCTTTACATTTATAGTTGTCTTTCTGTGCCTCAGTGTTACCTTCAGATATCCGAAGAGTGATTGTTGGTGAAGAGGAGCAGCAGGAGTGGAGCTCCAGTCTGGACCAGGAGGACCAGGAGGACCCAGAGCCCCCACACATTAAAGAGGAACAGGAGGAACTCTGGACCAGTCAGGAGGGAGAGCAGCTTCAAGGACTGGAGGAGGCTGATATCACCAAGTTCACATTCACTCTTGTTCCTGTGAAGAGTGAAGATGATGATGATGATGAGGAGAAACCTCAGCCCTCACAGCTTCATCAGAGTCAGACTGAGGAGAACAGGAGAATTGAACAGATGAAAACAGAAACTTGTGAAGAGGACTCTGGAGGACCAGAACCAGCCAGGAACTCAGATCCAGATAGCTGTTTACAACCAGATACTGATTACAAGGCTTCAGACTCTTCAGATACTGAAGTTAGTGATGGCGATTGGGAATCTCAGTCCGGTTTAGATTCTCTGAAAAATAATGAAGTCACTGTCATGGATTTTAACTGTAATACTGTAGAGAGATCATTCAGCTGCTCTGAGTGTGGCCAAAGATTTGGCCGCAAGCCCCATCTGAATGCACACATGAGAATTCACACAGGAGAGAAACCATTTAGTTGCTCCTTTTGCGGTAAAAGATTTTCTCAAAAGGGAAACTCAATTAGTCACATGAGACTTCACACCGGAGAAAAACCTTTCAGCTGCTCCATCTGTAAAAAATGTTTTAGATATAGTGGAGATGTCAGCAGACACATGAGAATCCACACAGGAAAAAAAAAACTCAAACGCAGTGTTAGTGACGTGATCAACAGCAACATTGACACAGTATCTGAACCCGCCAGGAACTTAGATCCAGATAGATATTTACCACCAGTTACTGATGATAAAACCCCAGAACCTGAGACTGAACCGAGTGATGATGGTTGGAAGGACACCAGGGACCAGTCAGATTTAAATGCTCACGAAATTGATGATGTCTCCGAAAGTGATATAAGATGTAATACTGACAAGGAGTCGTTTAGCTGCTCTGAGTGTGGGAGAACATTTTGTCGCAAGGACCATCTGATGAGCCACATGAGAACGCACACAGGAGAGAAACCATTCAGTTGCTCGGTTTGTCAGAAGCGTTTCAGCTGCAGTGGGAACATTTTGGCACACATGAGAATTCACACAGGAGAGAAACCCTTTGAATGCTCATTTTGCGGCAAAAGTTTCAGTCAGAAAGGAACTTTGCAGCTACACATAAGAATTCATACTGGAGAGAAACCATTTAGTTGCCCATTTTGCGATAAAAGATTTGCCCATAAAAGACGTATGACCCTGCACATGTCAGTCCACACAGAGGAGAAACGATTCAGCTGCAGTGTTTGTGACAAAAGGTTCACTTGGTATACTCAACTCAAAACCCACAAGTGTGTCGGTGAGTCCTCGCAGCTTCGTCAAAGCCAAACTGAGAAAAAGGTTTCTGCCAAAGAATCTTTTAGCTGCACTGAGTGTGGTAAAAAATTTAGCCTCAAGGGCAATCTGAAGACACACATGAGAATTCACACAGGAGAGAAACCGTTCAGTTGCTCAGTTTGTGGTAAAAGTTTTAAACAAAACGTACATCTCACGGAGCACATGACGATTCACACAGGTGAGAAACTGTATAAGTGCAATGTTTGTGGTAAAGGATTCAATAAGAAGTTACTTGTCAAAAAACATGCATGTGTTTAATCCCTGGACACTTGTCAGCTCGTGATCACAATCTGAATTCATGGATTTATATTCACAAAGATGTTGAGTGAATAGAATAGTTTGGACGTTTTGCAGTTTAAAAAAATACCCAGCAGAAATGTGAGTTTTTCTGCATGTAAACAATCTACTTGACTGTGCGTCGTTTTCCAGTATAGAAGGAAATAATGTTCATAAAGATTCGAATCTTGTTAGCAACTCAATACCTGAAGTTTGATAATTACTGAATGTTTAATGTTGAAATCAAAACACCACTGATTGTAGAAAGCTGAAATGTTTTACTTTGAAACCATCTATCTCAATTTATGTGGCCTGACCTGAGCTAACCACACTCAACTGTCCCACTGTTACTACAGACTCATGAACTAACTACAGACACTATCTCATGGGGAATTTTGAATAAAAAGTGACTTTAAAACACTACCATCCTTACCTGAACAGGCAGGGAGCAACATGACACTGTTGAGAAAGACGCTGCTTCAAGGCTGGGTTTTAAGATACTAACGTAATTAGAAATGTCAGTGGGATTTTGAACAAGGTTTTCTTTCTTTCAAATTGCACAATGTGAAATTGATCAAAACCAAATAAAGATGGCTTTCAAAGTAAAAAAATAATAATTTTAACATGAATAAATATTGAACAATCAGTAGTGATTATATTTAGGTGATAATAAAATGATAGGAGGAAGTGGTGATCTGATGTTTTTGTTTTTTTTAATCTTTGCCTCACACCATGTGGGAAAATCATTTTATAGACTGATCTGACAGAACAATCTCCTCTTCAACTTAATATGAGAATTTTAAACTGTACAGTGATAAGCTGCGGGAACACAATGTTAATATCTAGTTTTCCAAAAAGAGAATCTGATGAAGCTTCATGTTTAATTCAACATGCTTCCACTCTGAATTTATACTGTAACTGGACTCGAGGAGTTGATAGCGCTAATCATATTCTGTTATTTTATTCTTTGAATAAATACACAATGGACACAAAGTGACTGTTTTGTCTGTTTCTTTGTCTGATCCTCACTTTGAGTCAGTTAAGCCACCGTCATCAGTTCCGCTTTTATTTTTCATACCACCTTGTTTGTGTTTGGTTTTTATGCTACAAGTAAAAGTTATGATGTCACAGTGATACACATCCAGAGAATCACAACTGCACATCCCATTAAAATACCTGCAACCTGGCCTTTTGATTTTATCCTTGTATACCCAGAATATAAACAGTTTCACTTTTGAAAACATTAAAATCATTTTAACTTAAATAATTATCAGTGACTTTGCACTGCACCACAGCCTAAAACAATTCACTTCATGTATTCTGAGTGATGCAGAAAACACATTAGCATAATGTGAAAGCTGTGAGTCTCCATTTTCTTATTTACAAAAGTTTTAAACTTCAGACTAAAAAAAAAAAGTTAAATAGTTACTTGTTAAACCTAAACATCCTCCTCTGGGGGTGTTTAGGTGGTTATTCCTGTTGACACCAGAGGACAGACCAGGCCCAGGAGGCCACAAGGAGGAGAACAGTCTGCAGCAAGGCGGCCATGATGCTGGACGGCCCTCGAGGAACGCTGGAAGGTGACAAACAAGACAAAAAGGGCCACACACACACAGTCCCACCAAAACCTACAACCTAGAAACAGAACACACTTAAGATGTGGACCAGCAGGAGACTGGAGGACCAGGATCAGAGCTGGTAAATACAGGGACAGAAAAATCACACATTATATTCTCCAAAATAAATACATAAATAAATAATTGGAGGATTTATCTCAGAACAAAAGTCACAACTGTGTTGAAAATGTATCCATTTAATTTGTAATGAAATGCCTTTCATATTGATTTCTATTGTGGAATCAGCCAATAGTAAAGACAGAGTCAGGATTATCAAAACTGTGAAAAACAAGTGGCAAACAGTCTGTAACTTTACAAGACTTGGAGGAGATTGCTTCAAAGACGAGGCTGTGACATTACGTCCTATCTCCTTTCCTAACCACTTTACCTTGACCTTCATGGAAAATTAGGTAAAGGAAAGATGTGAAGGAGAGTTCATATCATAAGGACTTAGGAAAAGACAACCACAGTGCTCAGAGTACTGACACTAGGCTGCGTAATGATGCAACATCGCATGTTACCGACGTGGCTCTATGTTCACCTGTGGGATTAACATTTGGATGAAAATTAAAAACAATTTAGCATATTAGCATCAGGCATCAGGAGGGAAAGGCTTAATAAGCAACAGTAAGTTACACGATGGGAAGTCCAGTGTATCCTATGCTAAAGCAGATAATAATAAAAAGCACTGAAGCTCTTTTCCTCAGTATTTACAGAACTAGACCAGCTTTTATCAGGGCTGCCACTAAGATACTCCTGTGTTTTCCAACACAGCCCAGCTTTTAGTGTTTTTAGTTGAATGGCAGAAAATGGGTAAATTGAAATGTCTGAAGGGGAAGTTGCATACTCATCCAAGGAACCATGAACGCTTGTATTTTGTTTCTACACATACACATAAGCATTGGTTTTTGCAGAGTGTACTATAAAAACTACCACCAATGCAGTTTTTCTGATTTCAAAAAAGTTTATTTATTTCATTTCATTTCTTCTTTCTATGGGCTTCCAGATGTTTAGTCAAACTTCCTTTTTGTCTGTATCTTTTACCACAAGCAGAGCAAATATATGGTTTCTCTCCTGTATGAATTCTCATGTGCACCTTCAGATTTCCACTTTCACCAAAACCTTTCCCACACTCTGGGCAGCTGAACGGTTTCTCCCCTGTGTGGATCCTCAGGTGCTTCTGTAAACGTCCACTCCATGAAAAGCATTTCCTACAAACTGGACACCTGTAAGGTTTTTCTCCTGTATGACATCTCATGTGTAATTTCAGATATGCCAAGGAGCCAAAGCTTTTTTCACATTCAGAGCATCTATATAATTTGCCAATATTGCATCCCATATCACTTACAGGAACATCATTATTTATTCCTGACTGAAGTTCCCTGGTCTCCTTTGGTTCACAGGAGTCTGAAGCCTTGTCATCAGAACCTGGTTGTAAATGTCTGTCTGGATCTGAGTTCCTGTCTGGTCCTGGTCCTCCACAGTCCTCTCCATCAGCTTCTGTCTCCATGTGTTCAGTTGAGCTGCTGGCTGGAGGCTCTGCCTCTCTGTTCTCCTCAGTCTGACTCTGATGAAGCTGTGAGGACTGAGGTTTCTCTTCATCATCATCATCTTCACTCTTCACAGGGACAGGAGTGAATGTGAACTTGGTGATATCAGCCTCCTCCAGTCCTTGAAGCTGCTCTCCCTCCTGACTGGTCCAGAGTTCCTCCTGTTCCTCTTTAATGTGTGGGGGCTCTGGGTCCTCCTGGTCCAGACTGGAGCTCCACTCCTGCTGCTCTTTTTTACACACCAACAGCTGCTGGACATCTGCAGAACAGAATGAAACACAGCCCCTGAGTATGTAGGTAAAGTGACCTTGATCTTCCATCTAATCTAAAGTGAAGAATGATTTGAGATTAACAGTTTTGATACTTTGGAAAAAAATAATTATTGATACAGACTCAATGTTTCACAGTTGACAAAAAAAGATTTTGACAAACTAATAGTCATGCTTGTATCCATGTGAAGCTGTAATGCTCACTGCTCACCAGAAAACCAAACTGCAACATACAGAGAGGTTAATTTCAGTCCTGTAGATAATAAGTGGCTAAATTTAGACCATGGTGTGTGAGAAACCGGACAATTGGGAGGTGTAACCAGCATACATAGCAGGATCAGTTTGGTTTTATGATAACGTGACAACAAATCATTATATTTACTTTACTGATGGTTGGAGAAACCCAATCTGAAGATGTCCTCTGGGAACATGATAGATAGATAGATAGATAGATAGATAGATAGATAGATAGATACTTCATTTATCCCCTAGGGTAAATTTGCAGACATTTTACATAGAAAAGATGACAGATTGAGATTAAAGTAACAAGTAGTATTAAAGCAACTGTTATTTTCAGCCCTCATAGTCATGTTCATACCTACTATATACTTGGTAATGGTGTTTTAATTACTGCTACAAAAACTGATTAATTAGCATTAATATATTAATAATGGTACAAACTATGTGAATATTAGTTGTGTAAGTGGAGAAACGTGTGCTCCTCTCTACAAAGAGATCTGAGTGACTTCATGATTGATCGTGATCGTGATTGATTGTTGACACTGTCTGAGGCTTGTCCGCTGTGAAGCTTTGGCAGGAGCTAGCAGCTGCTAACAGCTGTGTGTAGATGGTTTAGCTAACGTTAGCTTAGCATTAGCTTGGCACTGACTCCCTGTGACATCAGCAGAACAACAAACATGCAGGAGAAAGAAAACGAACCTCTCTGCTTTATCTCAGGTGTTTGAACCACATCCAGCATCTCGCGATGGCGGCGGGTGATCTCCTCTTCATACTCGGTTATTGTTTTCTCAAAGTGTCCGAAGATCTCCTCCACCGCCGCGGTCAGCCGCTGGTTGACGAAGACCTTCAGACTCTGGAGTCTGGACATTTCACAGACTCAGGAAACAAAACACTGACGTGTTTATTACTGTTAAATTCTGAATGTTTCAGTCCTTCTGTACCTGTAAATACCCAACGGTCACGTCTTCTTTGAAACGAGCACTTCCAGGTCGCGTTTCAAAAATAAATAGTATAGTATTATAGTCACATAAAAACACATTTTAAGTCTGATTGTATTTTCTAATGGATCTCGAATGGATCTCTAATGGATATTTCTAATGGAAATAGAAATTGAAAGTGTGACATATTAAAAACCTTAATTCAATCAATGCATAAATTAATATGATTTTTATATGATTTTTGAGTAAGATGACAAGTTCTAAAACGACAGCAGTAAAACCTTATTGTGAACTTGTGTCATATTTTACTCTACAACAACTCTTTTTTTCTCCTAGGCTTGTCATAACAGCACTTCTTCTTTATTATTATTATTATTATTATTGTTATTATTATTATTATTATTATTATTATTATTATTATTATTATTATTATTATTATAGTAGAAGTAATAGTAGTAGAAATAGTAGTGCATTTTTTATAATAAGGAGAAGAACAACAATCAAATTCAGGTCTTAGGGCTCAAATATAAAATAAACGTAAGCCTATGGGTTTTAAATGTAAAAAAAAAAAAAAAACCCACAATGGGTAAAACGAGTTTAAAAACGTTGAAAACTCCCCACTTTTATTCTGAAGGCCAGGAGTGTAGCGGAAGTTTCGTTTAGTTTCCGGGTCTTGGTGGTTGACTCTGGCGGACAGCAGCTAACTCTATGAGCCAGCCTGTGTGGATATGAGAAAACAGCTTCAATGTCTTTGTCTCTCTGACCCTTCGCTCTGTGGAAAATGGCCAGATTTCAGGATGTTAAAGAGTCGTTCAAACAGCGGCTGCTGACCACGGTTCGCAAAGATATGTTTGGACATTTCGAGAGAACAATATCCGAATATGAAAAGGAGATCGACCGCAAACGAAAACTACTGGATATGGTTACAAAGCCCAAATTAAAGCAACGGCAAACAGGTGAGTTATCTTCTCTACTGCTGGAAATGTGTTTATTGCTCTCCTAATGTTGCATGCACTAGGGGCTAAACTAAACTGGCTCCAGCATCCACACACAACTTGTTAGCCGCAGCTAGCTTCTGCTATAAAGTTTCATTTAGTCCTTAGGAATCAAAGACCCTACGGTGTGTTGATATATATATATATATATATATATGATGACTCATATATATATATATATATATATATGATGACTCAGCATAGTAAAGGCTTTTTGTTGGAGCTGCAAGTTTTCTGTGAACACTTTGGTTTGAGTCACATCAACTTTGTTTCTGAGAAATTAGTTTTTCTGTGTGGTATGGCCAATGGTTGTAAACACTACAATACACATGAATGTATTTGCACTGAGCAGCAATGGAGTTGTCATTTCAATTGTTGTACAAAAAAATCACAGTTGGGTTACTAAAGACTACTGCCCACTCTTTGATCATTACTACAACACCTATTAACAACAACACTTAACACACTGTGGATTGTCATGTTATTTATCACTCTTTTCCGCTACGCAAACTTAAGGATCTGTAACCTGGAGCTTCTCTTAACCTGAACTTGAAAGAACATGTGAGGTGTGGGCTCTAGCTTCTGTTTTTACAAGCCACAGCACTTCGGATATATGTCATTGAAAAGGTGACACTTCAGATACCAGGACAAACAATATTTTGATGATGATGATAATTGAGTGCTGTTCAGTTAAGGGACAGACATCAATGGAAAAAATTAATTATACTTTTAATGTAGAGAACAGGCTGCAAGATGCAACACAATCATTTATGAAGTTGTTTTTCTATAAAAGAAAATTAAATAATGTGATATGGTGTTTAATCGGCTGTAATCACTACAGAGTGGAAAAAAGACCTCACTGCTGCATCATGATTTTCAGGCTCCACACCAACTTTTAACATTGGTTAAGTACAATTTTGAGGTTGTTGTACTTTACTTGAGTATTTCCATTTTCTGCTATTGTACACTTCCACTCCTACATTTATTTCACAGCTTTAGTTACTTTTAAGCTGAAGATTTTACACATGGGTTAATATAACAAGCTTTTATAATACAACACACTGTTAAAGATGAAACCAGGGGTTTCTGACCCTTTTGGCTTCTGGCTTCTCAAACATCAGTGTAGTTAGGTCACAGTTCAGATGTCTGTGTTGTTAACAGCTCCACCAAACGGGGGTTTTTCCCTCTAAACCAAACCAGGGCTTCTACTTAAATAATTCAACTACATGTTGCTGCTGATACTCTTGTACTTTTACTGTAGTAGGGTTTTTCATGCAGGACTTTATGATGGAGTATTTTCAATACTCCATTACAATGGAATACTTGTAATGGAGTAAAGGATCCAAATACTTATTTCACTCCTGGTTTCTCTGTGCTTGTGTTTTTATCAGTGTGTCTTGCAGACGTCCAGCAGCTGATGACTGAAGACGGGGTTCCTACTGAGAAGCAGGAGTGGAGCTCCGGACTGGACCGGGAGGATCCAGAACCTTCACACACACAAGAGGAACTCTGTCTTATTCAAGGACAGACAAGTGATGATGGAGAGGAGGACTGTGGAGGATCAGAATCAAACAGAGACTTGGATCCAGCTTTGTATTCACAGCCAAACACTCCTGAACCTGAGAGTGATGACAGTGATGAAGACTGGGAGGATCCTGACAAAAAATTTCAATGTTCCAAATGTGGTTTTAGATTTCCGAAATGGTCACGTTTGAAAAAACACATGAGGGTTCATACAGGAGAGAAGCCTTATAGTTGCTCTTTGTGTGGCAAAAAGTTTGCTACAAAAGCAAGTATGGACTACCACTTGAAAATTCATTCAGGAGAGAAACCATTCGATTGCTCGGTTTGCGGTAGAAATTTTAGAGATAGAAGCACTTTAAAATACCACATGTTGATTCATGCAAGGATAAAACCATACAGTTGCAGTGTTTGCAACAGAAAATTCAGGCGGGCGACATCGCTCAAGATCCATAAGTGTGTGAACAAACCAATGAGCTGCTCTGAATGTGATGAAACATTTCCTAACAAATCCCTTCTGATGACCCACAAGAGAACGCACAAGGAAAAGAAGCTACTTACATGCACAGTTTGTGGTTTACAGCAAAAGTTTAAATCCCAGATGAAGATACACATGAGAAGCCATACGGGAGAGAGACCATACAGTTGCTCAATCTGTGGAAAAAAATTCACACAAAGAGGAATTATGATGCAACACATGGCAGTCCACTCAGAGGTGAAACCATTCGAATGCACTGACTGTGGCAGAAGATTCTTTTGGCACTTTCAGATCAAAAAACACAGGTGTTCTCAAAAAACACAGCAAATCAAAACAGGCTTTACTGGAGGGAACCGTGGAGGAGCAGAACCGGCCAAGAACCTAGCTCCAGGTACATCTTTAAAACCAGTCCCAGCTGTTGACATTGATTTCTGGAAAGATACCAGGCAGCATCAGTCGGGTATCACTTATCAGAGGATAAAAAAAGTCACTGCAAATGATGGAAATAATACCGGAAAGGAAACCGGTAACTGCTCTGATGACAACAATAAAACTGAACCCAAGGATGATGAACGTGTTGACAGTGATTCGTGCAAACAGAACAATCAACGAGAGTCGGGTTTAAAAAATGAAGACGTCTCTGTGAGTGAAGAAAGATTTAATATTGACATGAAACCATTCAGCTCTTCTGATTGTCATCAAAAATCAGAGAGCAGTCACATGCTACAGACACACATGCTGTGTCATATAGGAGAAAAACAATTTAGTTGCTTCTTTTGTGGTAAAGGATTTAAAACAGGAGGATATCTGACAAAACACATATCTGTCCACACAGGAGAGAATCTACTCACATGCATAATTTGTGAGAAAAGATTTACTTGGGAGTTCGAACTCATTAGCCATGTCTGTGTTGGCTCCACAGAGCTTTCTAAAAGGCCAACTAAGGAGCAGAATACTGCCAACTGCAACTACAACTACAGCTGCTCTCATTGTGGTCAAGGATTTGAGCAAAAGCGCCAACGACAGGAACACATGAAAATTCACACAGGAGAGAAACTGTTTAGTTGCTCAGTGTGTGGTGAAGGTTTTGCCAAGCGTGCAAGTTTAACATTACACATGATGTGTCACACAGTGGAGTCTCTCCACTGTTCAGTTTGTAACACTGAATTTAGTGACAGAGAGTCATTAGTTCAGCACATGAGGATCCATACTAGACAAACACAATTTAATTGTGAAATTTGTGGTAAAGAATTTGCATGGAGAAGAAATCTGACAAGACACATGGAAGTCCATGCAAAGGAGGAACATCACGGCTGCAGTGACAGAGAATCAACCAGCCATGATGAGCTCAATAACCATGGGTGTGGTGGCGAGTCCTCACAGAGTCAGACTGAGGAGAACAGAGAGGCAGAGCCTCCAGCCAGCAGCTCAACTGAACACATGGAGACAGAAGCTGACGGAGAGGACTGTGGAGGACCAGGACCAGACAGGAACTCAGATCCACATAGACATTTAGAACCAGGTTCACATAACAAGGCTTCAGACTCTTCTGACCCTCAGACTAAAGATAGTCATTTTTGGAAAGAGACCATGCAACGTTGGTCAGATTCAAACTGTGTAAAAGATGAAGTGTTTGAAAGAGAAATGGAATACAAACCTGACCCGTCTTTTAACCATCAGAATGATGACAGGGATTTTTGGAAAGAGAGCAGGAAACCTCTGTTATGTTTAAACTCTCTGAAACATGAAGAAGTCTCTCAGAGTGATATAACATGTGAGAACTCACAGCCCTCACATATTAAAGAGAAGCAGGATGAGGTTCAAGGACCAGAGGAGGCTGATATCACCAAGTTCACATTCACTCCTGTCCCTGTGAAGAGTGAAGATGATGATGATGAAGAGAAACCTCAGTCCTCACAGCTTCATCAGAGTCAGA